AAATGGGGAGCAGAGACAGGTGCAATAAGCTTTATTCACACACAAAAAAATCAACTTGGTGGAATGGATTCTGTTGCAGTGTTTGCTTTTTTTTTTGTAAAAGAAGCAAAATGTTTAACCCCTTAAGGACCAAACTTCTGGAATAAAAGGGAATCATGACATGTCACACATGTCATGTGTCCTTAAGGGGTTAAAATGATTATATGATCTATCTCATGAAATAGTATGAGGGTGCCCATACAGCATTCACTGGGTTTAGTTAATGAGGAATATATGCTCATTATAGCCAAAATCATTCAGATTTTCTATACTATTATGGGCTCGTTTGTTTGTTTGTTTGTTTTTAAAGGTCTGAGAACTATCATAGACATACAGAACATTGTTAATGGAACCAAAACAATTTTTCATCCCACCGACTTAAACTGTGAGGGTTAAAACACGAAGGGAATTATCGACTAATGTTTTAGGTGAATGCAGTTTTCTGAAGTATGAACGGTGTGACGTTCTGGCTCTAGAGATAATTACTACTGTAAAGGCTCCAAGCGAGCTGACAAACACAGACCTTGCATATTGATGGAGCTGATAAGTTCGCATAAGTGCATTGCCGTTGGGTCATTGTGTGTCCGTTGCATTGGAAAGCAGAGCTTGCTGCCCTCTGGTCACCATTCCTTTCACATACAGCCATGTATTTAGATGGTCGAATGCATTATGATCGGTGTCATGAACAAGTGCTGAAATACCTCCAGGAAATCAGCAGCTGCCATAGAAATCTCGTCTACTCTGTAATAAAAGACCATGTAACGAACTATCCATATACATTAAGGAGATTGCACAAAATACTCAAGACATGAAGCAGCTCAGCTTGCTGGTTTAATTTATTTAATGACAGAAGTACAGCGAGGCAGCTGTCTGTAGGCATACAGACGTTCGCAATGACAAGACTACTCTTTTCAGCTGTACCATATAGAGTAGTTCTTCCTCTATGAAACAGACACTGTGGTCCCTGGCCTGTATTATGCCACTGCTTTGATAATTAGATCTGTCGCAAAACTGAATTTCTCAACACTGGCTCAGAGAACCCCTAGAAAAATTCACAATCCTTCATGGGAGCACATGTGGCTCTTTCACTTGAAAATGTGGATCCATAATTGAACAACCTATTCTCAATGAACACATCATACATCATACCACCTATTGATCCAACATGTTGAGCCATTGGCATATGTACGCCTGACTCTGCTAAGACTAGGGTATCATGTTGAAGGGGCAGCACTTGGCAGTAAGAGACACCATAGCCTATCCAGAAGTAAGGGATATGTCCGCTCCATGGGATTCGCTAGAACATTGGTAGGCAACCTTCTGCACTCCAGGTTTCATGGACCACATCTCCAATAATGCTGGCAATGCATCAGGGGAGATGTAATCCACAACATATGGTGTGTTGAAGGCTGTCTACCAATGTTCTAGCAAATCACAGGGAGCTGACATATCTCTGACTTTTGGATACGTTATGGTGTCTCTTACTGCCAAGTGCAGCTCCTTCAACATGCTATCCTATGACAATGTTCTGATCTTTTATCCTGTCTATAACCTATGACTGAAGATTTCTATGCCCTACATCTAGGCCTCCAGGGCCAACCAACAATAAGGTAGGACACACGGCTGAATGGTCAGGGAAAAAAAGGAAGCTTGGTAAAAAGGAGGCTTGATGTTAGGTTGGTTAAAGGAGAAGATTAAGGAAGCAGAGAGAGAGGGAAATTAAATTGCATTCCGAACTGGATGAAGAAAGGGTTTGGTGGTTATCACCAATGCATCAAAGCCCTGCCTTGCCAGTGAGTCTCAATAGGCAGAAGATGTGCAGTCTATGGTTGGTCTATTTGGCTCCTACCCGAGCAGGGATATAAAAAGTGTCATAAAGCTAGTTATAAAACAGTGTATTATTCCTAAGTGAGTCTATAGAAATATTTTGAATTCTAAATAGTGAATGTCTAGTGAATAATCTCCAGCTTACAAACATGCAGTTAGATAACAACACTTTTTACAGGTATGGTTTAATTTCCATATACAAGGAGGAAGATCTTGTCAGGGGTTTCAGATTGGAAGTGGTGGAATATTTGATGAATTCTGGTAAAATATTCTGCCGTTGTGAGGCTCTAGATGAAAATACTACTCAAACCACTTCCATGTTGAATATAATGTAAAGTAGACGTGTGCAAAACTTGATTTTAAGGTATTTGTCTAAATACAATACCTGCTAATTATCGAATTAATCAATACTAAAAATGTGCTTTGTTCTTAAACATCTTTGCAAAGTAGTTATGAACCAGGCAAGGAATGTGCAGGGTAGTTTTATGGTTATTGTAATCGGAAATATGAATAATACAGAGTGCTAAATTAAAGGGACACTAAGCACTAGAACCATTAGGGTTCATTATAAATGCTATGGTGTTACATGATTCGGTTAAAAAAAAAAGTTTTGGTTGTTAAATTCTTTCTTTTTGGCATCCATAATTGAGTAATAGGCATGGTTCTTTGGCTCAAAGCAATTTGTACAATAAAGTAAAACATGCTAAGACATTTAAAGATAGGCCTTAGACGGTTGACTTAGATTCCACTTTATTGATCATGATGTAAAATACAAAATATATATATAGCTTATGTGAAACAGCATTGTTTGGGGTGATAAGATGAAATGAAGAAAGAACATGGAGTAAATGAGAAATATCAAAACAATGATTTGTTCATAAGAATATAGCTCTACTGATCTGTCACGTAGAAATGTGGTTAGACTGAAGATCAGGTTGGCAAACCACTATTGTGATCTATATTAGATAGATGTAGGTATGTCATCCCAGTTGATGGAGAGACTATAGTCTTGTCAAAAAGGGGTTGATCTTGTTCACATCCCCTGTCATCTCTCCTGAAGACCCCAAATACATGTCTTTTGGCCCCTACGTCTCAGTGGCTATTGGCTTTCCTCTAGAAAATATGGTAGTCAGTGGCATGGACCATTCTGATCACAACACTATTATTTTCCACTATTTGGGATAATCTATGTGTGTTGGGTTTTTCTTGAAGCAAACTGGTAATATAGAACAGTGAACTTCGTAATTGCAAGATGGCCTAGGAGAGGTCTTACGAAAAATGTATGCTTTGTCCTCACAGATAGAGGTTGAGCTTTTAGCAACTTGCACAATAGTGATTACCTCTCCCATTTGGGACAGTTTGCACTATCATGTCACGGTAGACTGTGGTTGAGTATCTTAGCGGCTTAGATACTCCATCAACTAGTATAGTAGCTTCGCTTTTGCATAGCATTATGGTAATGAATAGATCTTGCACCGTAATGGCATCTGATAATCGTAATGCTTTTTATTTTAACACAGGTGAATCAAGTATGGGTTCCTTAGATAAAGACAAAACCTCCAGTTTACCTGCAAGAAACCTCAGACCTTGGCCAAAAAATCCCTAATATCTTGAGGTCCTGCAGATAGCGAAGCTTCAGTCGTCTCCCAATAATATCACGTTTGGAGTGAGTAAACGGAGAAGCCAGAAGATCAGTAAATCTACAGTATCAATAACTACAAGCTGTGGCTCAGCTGAGAAACATTGTCAGTTTCAGTGCCAGCTCTGACATCTAAAGAGGGGGATTAATGCATGGCCTGAAAGACTGAAACTTTGTATACAACAGTGCAGCGCAAATAAAAAAAACACATTGCAAAGCAATGGAAAATCTAATTGTAAAGGGGGAACTATCAGTTCAATAACATCATCTCTATATTTGAGCTATATTTAGGGACACTGTAGTCACCAAAACAACTTAGCTTAATGAAGCAGTTTTGGTGTATAGCTCATGTCCCTACAGTCTCATTGCTCAATTCTCTGCCATTTAGGAGTTAAATCACTTTGTTTATGAACCCTAGTCACACCTCCCTGCATGGACTTGCACAGCCTCCCTAAACACTTCCTGTAAAGTGTCATCTACAATTTATCCTTCCTTTATTGCAAGTTATGTTTAATTTAGATCTTATCCTCTGCTATGTTTATAGCTTGCTAGACCCTGCAAGAGCCTCCTGTGTGTGATTAAAGTTAAATTTACAGAGAAAGAGATACAATTGTTTATGGTAAATTACATCTGATTGAAAGTGAAACCAGGTTTTTTTTTTTCATGCAGGCTGTGTCAATTAGAGCCAGGGGAGGTGTGACAAGGGCTGCATAAACAGAAACAACAAGATTTAACTACTAAATGGCAGTGAATTGAGCAGTGAAACCTGAGAGGCATGATCTATACACAAAAACTGCTTCATTAAGCTAAAGTTTTTTAGGTGACTATAGTGTTCCTTTAACAATATCTTTGTGAGGTGTGAAAAAAAAAGTTTGAATGCAGAAATCTACACTTTTTATCCTGCAACTGGGTGACTCCATCTTGGCTCTGTGTTCGTCATTAGTATAAGAACTGCACTTTGAACCTAGCAGTCAGCTAGGGTAAGTATACAGAGAAGAGGGAAATAAAATAACTGTACGATTCCTCCTCTTAATTTACAAGGTCTGCCCTGGATGTGCTTTGCTTGAACTGGATTGCAACATCATTTGCCAAATCCTTCAAAATAATTTTAAAGGAAAACAGAGCATCACACGAGAAAGAAGGTTAACATAAGTTACAGGTGATTTTAATGGTTTTATTTAATGGTTTAACTTCCATGGATGTGACAGTTCCCCTTTAAAGTAGGTCACAACATTGCCTAATGGGAAAGGATGCTTCTCTCACAGAACTACAAGAAGAGGTGTTGCAAATATTTATAGCTTATTTCTTGTGAGAAGTCTAATAATGCGTAAAGTTTGAAAGTTAATAAAGGGTTCTGCATTTTCCTAAAATATACCAGTTTTATGTTACCTGTCTCAAGACAATAGAAACTGGACAGGTCCCCTTCCATGGCAGTACCCAGTTCCCCACAAATTTGTAATACTCAGGGTCCCCCCTGCCTCACCACCCCCTTCTTCTCCTCTCATCTGTCTTATATAGTCATGCCTCCTCTAGGGAGTAGAAAACCCTCCTTCTCCTCCCTCCACCTCTCCAGGATCATGTGGCATTAGAGAAATGGAACAATAAAATAACATTGTGTGCCAAATACACAATGGACTCGCTAGATAGGGATGAGAAATCACTGCAGCATGCTGAGGCTAGATTGCAGTCAGAGAGGAGGACACACGCCTAGCCTCCTGTCTGCACCCTAGTTCTGCATTTCTCTATCTCACAAGCACAGACACTCACTCTCTGCTGATGGGGATCTCAGCAGTTCACTAGTTCCTGCTGAGAGAGGTCTTTGCAAAGCTGAGTTTGGAGGAAGGGAGCAGCATGTGCTGGTCACCTTGCTGGAAAAAAGATAATCACACCCTGACTGTATAGAGGTCAGAGAGGCTGAGACCCTTTAATTGAGCTCAGCTAGGACTCCCTACACATACATCCTAAGTGCTGGGAGTCATGGGAGAGTCATTATCACTGCCAGTGGAGCAATTCAAGCTGGAAGCTCACACAGAGCCCCCTGTCTCAATGCTAACTTTCCTCTGATGAGACTGAGGAGAATCTGGAGTATATGAGGAGACCCCTGGAATTTGCTGAACAAGACATCTCCAAGGGTAAGAGAGCAAGCACTGCTTGGAAATGAAATGAATGGGGATTTCCTGTGGATTTGTCCATGTGTGCAATGATATTAAGCTGAGGTCTATACTATTACAATTATTATATATTGTACTTACGGTTATGTTGATTAATATATTTATGATTGTATTGATTCTCACATGTCTATTGATGTCATTTATGTTAGTGGCAGGGAATTCTTGTAGATTATTGCACACACAATGTTAAATGTATTTTTTTAATTGGTGATTTCCTACTCACTTTATTTAGTGAATCACCTTTCATTTATATTTTAGTATTATTCTTGGTTAAGATGAAGGCATACAGGGTTATATTCATAGATGTGCAGATTTTTGAAATGATAGATTAAAAAAAAGTAGGTATTGCATATTTCCTTAACTCCCACAGTAGGTCCTTAGTATAATCACTTCTTAATTGTTTGTTTGTTTTTCCTTTAGTTCTGTATTTATATTTTAATTTTCTTTTTAGATAATGGAGGTTTAGAGAGAGGTTAATTACAGTATTTTTGATACTGAAATTTGTAAAATGCACCATGTTTTTGGGAAATGCTTCAGTCTTGGTGGGTGAGTATTTGCACTGGGGTAGCAAAGTATAGAGAAGTTTTAATATCTACAAACATAAACTTTATTGCAATGCCCATTAAGTGGGTAAATCCAATGAGCTATAGTGGTGATGAGTATAACTACTGTATGCCACATAAGAATCAGTACACAGCAATCATTAATCCCCCAGAACATACTCTATTAACACTTTAGGTATCTAGGACATGTAACGATTGCAGAGGCTGCTCTAGACTAAATGGCTCAAAATAAGCAATTTTTGCAACTGAGAACTTAACATTACTGATACTTATATGGCATGATCTTCACCTGACAGATGCTTGGAATGTGGGACAGAAGACCAAGTTTATTTGCTTTTCATATCTTTGGAGCTTTGCATAGGTTAGTAGATATACACAAGTACTGTGTGTTAAAGCCAGGTTTAAATTGTATTTTAGGATTATGAATTCTTTGGACAGCTGCTATGAATTAGGGGAGATTAGCGGGGGTCTTGGGTTTGGTCAATTCTAGGGTTAGCGTTAGCAAGGTACGTGGCTATGGTTCATGAAACAAGGATACTAGGTTTTAGAGAGATAAGTAGAATGGAGGAGATTATTTTTCTCTTAGTCAATATAAAGATGTGGTTGCAGTTGGTGATCAGTTGCTGTAAATATTTAGGGGTTCAAGGAGCTTACTGAGGATCACGATAATACAAATCAAGTCAGAGATCATAACAGGTCAGTAGACAGAAACCTTGCATCTCCATCTGGAGGTGCCTGTAGAAATTACCTTGGTCACTTGAGGCTAGGCAGCTGGTGCAATTGACAATGATAGAAAGTCAACACATACACACTGTGGGCAAATACCCCCTTTGCTGCAGAACATCTTGCAGGGCAGTACTGTCACTCTACAGTTCTCATCATATCAACATATCCTGCTGCAACCGCAGACTTCCCCAGCCTTCACCACCAACTTGCTATCCAGACTAGACTCCTACTGCTAACTATACACACATTGGTGGATTAACGTGGGATAAAGAGGGCCAGTTTTCCCTGTAAACTTACATATTTATGGGGTTTACTTGTAGAGGGAGAATAATACAAAAATTAGTAGAACCAGAACAAATATGGGCCATGGCATGTATACATTTGAATAAAATTATGAATATTAGTTTACTATTCTAATGGGTAAAAGCGCATTAATATATTGGGACCCATGACTGCTCCTAATCCTCCCCTGCTGATGTAATTAAAATAGCTAAGCAGTGCCTTATCGTTCCTCTGCCTCAGAGGGAATAGACCGACCCTGCGTTCAATATACTCTGCCACATCAAATAATAAACTCCTTAAAGGGGAACAGTCACCTCTATGGAATTGACACCGCTGAATAAAACATTGAAAATCATCTATAAGTTGTGTAACCATTCTTTGGGGTTGCCATTTTCAGTTCAATTTATATAAAAATTTAGCACATTACATCACTATCCATTTCAGGCAAAGTACAGACAGATCAAACAATGTAAATGAAAAGGAGAAACAGATATACTTCTGTTTTCTCTATGCGGACAGCCAGGTGCAAAGACAGAGCTTGTAACAATGATTGACAGGGAGCTAAGATGGACGCACCCAGTTGCAGGATAAAGAGGCGTGGATGTCTACCTTTAAATTTAATTTTCACACCTCAAAAATACTCATTTGTTAAATATAGGAAATATTAAACATAATGTTAAATTTCCTGGGACGTCAATTGGACGTTCTTGATGTCCAAGCCTTGGGACAAGGTTCCATCAAGTGAACAAGGGTTTATTAACAAAATTACCCTAGCAGCCTGCAGGGCGCTGAGCCAAGCATGGCTACAGACAGATTCCCAATCGGTAGAGTTTAAGGTTACATATCTCATGGACAAGTTGACTGCTTAGCTTTGCCAGACAATGGATTTTTATTAATAAAACCTGGCAGAAATGGGGAATATGAGCCTGTTTGTTGTACGGGACAATGCTCATACAACCTCTATTAGTTGAGTTGATGCATGGAATAGCCTTCCATCTGAAGTTGTAGAGGTTAACACAGTAAAGGAGTTTAAGCATGCGTGGAATAGGCATAAGGCCATACTAAGTATAAGATAAGGCCAGGGACTAATAAAAGTATTTAGAAAATTGGGCAGACTAGATGGGCCGAATGGTTCTTATCTGCCGTCACATTCTATGTTTCTAGTTGAGATCATAGTCATCTCAACTATTGTCTCTCCCCCTTTATTTCCCCCTACAGACTTACTTTTTCTTCACCCTCTTTATTATGTTTATTTTTGCAAATTGGAATGTTACATGTAAAAGTTGATACCAAAGGTGCTTATAGATACGCTATCCCATATTCTTTCATAGTTTTTCCAGCAATACAATAAATAGCAAAAAGAAGAGAACGAAACAGGCTATGTATCTTATAACCACATGTTTTATACCTAAGAAAGTATTACAACTAGCCATCAACCAAGATAGATTTGTAATACAGTGAGGTAGAACCCAAGGTCAAGATTGAATATTTATTATATGTATAGATGTCATAATTCAATCTTTTATAGGTTCAGTTAAGGCATGTAAGCATTTTCGCTGCATCATATCTAGGTACTCAATAATTATGCATACATTGTCATATACAGACCTAATTGAGTTTGATTTATATAAATATATATATGTGCAAGTTATATAATTATTGAATAATAATCTTCATTGGGGTATGCATGACATATTTGAATTTATTGTATCATCGTTTATAGGAGCACATAGGTTATGCATGCATGTCCTCAATGCATCATCATGTAAACGGTATAAATTAGGTGTGTGTGCATATTGCCTTATATCGGAATGCATGAGGAGTGTGCATCTTTCATTGTAAATATGTTCTGCATTGATCACCCAGGTAAAAAGTTCAACCATTCAAAAATGGTTTGACTATTTACAATAGGGTTCGCCAGGTTGTTCTTGCTCCTGACACCATAACCACTACAAAATTCATTTAACCTTGTTTCTTTTACATGGGCCCACATTATAAGCATGGTATTAGCTTAGTCACATTTTTCAATTGCAAAATTAGTTTGGTGACCCACTGTAGCTTTTCAAAAAATTTTTTTTAATGTAAATAAATAAATATAAGTATAAAACCACTTTAATTTGATTGTTTCCATTTTTAAATGTTTCGCCAGACTGGGAGAAGCAGCAATGCTGTGATAACTTGCGAGCTGAGGCCTGGAACAACCACTCACTAAACTGGCATGGGAACCCAATTTTAGATCAGAGGTTAAAAAACAATGATCTATTATTTTGCTATATGAAAGTATTTCTCATGTTCAAATATTTTACTTGAAATGGGAACAGGCTTCTTGTAAGGAGATTTTCAGGAACTTAAGTTATCAGTAGTTCAGTTCTTGCCTTCGTTGTGTTGAAGAACAGATTACAGGGTTTCTCTGTGCCCTCTGGTCATACAATTATTATTTTATTATTTATATAGCGAAGCAAATTACGTAGCACTGTACAATAGGATAATGAAAGTATACGGGCAAAGGATGACAAATGCCAGGAAAAACAACTGAAAAAAACTGAAAAACGAGCTGCTGTATGGGGACCTTTCCAGAGGAGGACTGGCAACTTGTGGTCTGAGGGGCAAAAACTATTTAGTGTCTTATAGTGCAATTTTACCAACATCTGTGATAGACACAAGTACACAAACAAAATAGATGTGTTGATAGACATACAAGGTAAATTAATAGAAAGAAGTGCTATGCAGTTAAAGAGCAGCCCAGAGAGCAATTGCCCTGACCACTTGACACTTGGACATCCTTAATCAATAAGGAAGATCTCCCCACCAGCATTTAGTAAAAAAAAAAAGTTCTAAAGAATTTTCCAGCAAGGAAATGCTATTAATTTATTAGATGCATACACCTTGTATATCATGCTAATAAGCAGTAAATGCATAAACTTGTATATCCTGCCAATGAGCCGTATGTGCCTTCAAAAAGCCTTCCAGTGCCACCTGTGCCCCTAAACAACCTGCCAGTGAAACCTCCAGCCTATCTGTGCCATCTCTCTGCCCCAGCAGCTCTGTGCCATCTCTCTGCCCCAGTATATCTGTGCTAAAAAGCCCCTAGCCTCTCTGTGCATCTCTCTTCCCCAAGCCTCTCTGTACTATCACACTGCCACCAGCATCTCTGTGCCACCTCTCTGCCCCAGCATCTCTGTGCCATCTCTCTGCTTCCAGCCTCTCTGTGCCATCTTTTTGTCCCCAGCAGCTCCTTGCCATCATTCTGCCTCAAGCAGCTCCATGCCCCCTTTCTGCCCCAAGCAGCTCTGTGCCATCTCTCTTCCCCTTAGCAGCTATGTGCCACCTCTCTGCCCCTGGCAGCTCTGTGCCACCTCTCTGCCCCTGGCAGCTCTGTGGCACCTCTCTGCCCCTGGCAGCTCTGTGGCACCTCTCTGCCCCTGGCAGCTCTGTGCCACCTCTCTGCCCCTGGCAGCTCTGTGCCACCTCTCTGCCCCTGGCAGCTCTGTGCTATTTCTCTGCCCATCAACATGCTCATTCACCCGGATGGCATCCACAGCACTTGCTTTGCACCTAGATGCCTTGCATTCCCTACATTTACCCCTGGACACAGATTGCATCCCCTACACTTACCCCAGGACACAGATGATATCCCCAGCATTTACAGGACCCAGATGACATTCCCTGCACTTATCCCAAGACCAACATTCCTGGTGTCTAGTAGGAGGCAGTGTGGTGCCTGTGCACTATGTATATGCACAAACATCCTGTATGCCTCTTGTGCTCTTCGCACTTTTGGTGATGTCAGAGATGCGACCTCTGACTTCCTGAGACACACATGGCGCAAGAAAGGCATACAGACACCACACCACATTGCCTGCCTACCCCTGTCGCAGAGGTGGCTGGCTGGCTGCCAGACGCAAAATATTCTGGTGATGCTGCTAGTATATATTCCTAATGCTGGCACCGGCTGCATTACAGGCTGTGTGGCAATACAGCTGACATGGCTAGAATTTTGTGCGCCCTGGGGAACAATTGCCCCTGGATCTTTCCCACCAAAATGTTGCACTATGCACATGGAACTTTTAGGTCCAAAAGCAGACAGAACAAACCAAATAATTTTTGTTATATAATTTATTCCAGCAGCAGCTATACATCAATGGAGAGTATGTTGACTCTGATTGCTAAGGCTGTCTGCAGGTTTTCTATCCCCCTGTGCCCTGTCACTGTCCTTTGCATTATACGATTTTGTGACCTACTTTAAGATATCCCATTGGTGTGTGCAAATCTATTTTTTTTTCTTTCACTGCAATAGTAATACTATATACGATGAAATCTCCTTGACAGTGTACAAAAAATTCTGACAGTAATTGCAGTGAATCTGCTATTATTAATTTAAACTTCTGCCTTTACACAAGACAGCTACTTGCCTCTTTCGTAGGGGTAGCGGTTATCGCAGAAGTTGCTATGAAAAGGTGGTAAACAATGCTTTATTTATAGGGTGCCCTGGGGATAAATTATAAGATTTTACACAAATTTACGAGTAGCCAGGTATCATCTGGCCTGCTAAAAAAAATGTACTTGCCTGCCAAATTCTCATCCCCAACACTAATATGTGTTATTAATCATCTCGCTCCCAATCCAATTCCCTTATTCTAAATTTATGACCCAATGATATTTTATGAGTCCATAGGGTCTATTCACTAAGCCTTGATTTGTGATGGATTAAAACTTGACTTTTAAAAATGCCAAAGCAACAAATATAATAAATGAGAGAGATTTTATAGTCTGTTCAACTCAAGTTCGTTACAGTTAAGTGTTTGTTGTGTAGACCTTCAAATTGTCCTATTTATCAAAACAAAACTGGAGTAATTTGCAAAACAGCCATGTGTGGAGCAGTATAAACATGCCGTGGGTTGCTATAGTGATTGCTACAAACAGAGCACCTTGCCCCATAGTGCTGCACTTTACGCTTGCTGTAACTCCTTTTGGGGTAATGTATGACTAATAATTTAGGGTCTGAATTCCATTGGTTTCCACATCAGTAGCTCCACTTTTAGAACTTTTCCCCATAACTGCTCTTTTTATTAACCCATGCATTGTCCTAGCATGCTGTGGGGCAGATAAAAAGTGAAAGCAGTGGAGGTTTGTTTGGGATTATATGTAGTGTCACTCTGTACCACAATGTGCTATGACAATAGGTCTGCTGTCCCTGCCTGCTGGGGTGGGGGGGGAGAATTCTGTTTACATGCTCTGAGGCTCTGGCTGTGATGGACTGTTCGTACACAGTATTTACCAGCGGAGTTTGCAAAGCATTCTGCAACATCATCTTAAACAAGTCACTTCAGAGGGTGGGGAAGCAGAGAGCGAGAGGGAGAAACGCTGAGCAAGTGAAATAATATTTTATCTGCAAATACCTACCCTACTCCGGACGGCTTCAGGTACAATACATTGATAAAGTTTTCCTGTCTGCTTATTACGGTGTCTACTGCATATTGGTTTTTATAATTTATACATGAGTGTACGCCTTATAGAGTGATGTTTAGGTTCCATTTGTATACATTAAACATTTTTTTATATGCACATACATATATATCCACACACTATTCAGTGTACGTGTATGTATTATAATATATAGATATATATATATATATATATATAAATAAATGTGTCTGTAGTGCGTAATGCAGATGCTGTGTGATGTAGATGCACACACATGTATTTGAATGTTTTACATGCTTATCTTGCATATACATACACAAATACAAGTGTACACTTAGGAATACTTTGTATGTATAGGAATATGGCAGGCAGAAGTATTATGTGATACGGGATATATTAATATACGGGTTTGTATGCAGAGAGCAGTTATTATTTACAGTGTGATGTGTGTAAAGTTCATTCTGCTGCAACGCTGGCATTTACTCAATGACTGTGCTAATGTGACTCTTTTCTGTCCAGTTCTCCAGGCTGAGAGCAGAGCTGGGGGGCGTTATGCAGAACAAGGGGTTCCTTTCCCCTGTTTCCTTGACCCCCTCTCTTCTGATTCACTGTCTTGTATTACCTCTCCTTGGACTCATCCAGGTAAGATTGCGAGGTGTATTGCTTTATTGTACAACGTATGAATTATTCATTGGCAATGTTTGCTGTGCATAAATGGGTTAATGCTGCTCTGTTGAGTGTGTTGCATTATTTAAATAGAAAGTTTGTGCATTCTAAGCAGGGTTGAAAAGGAGTTACAGGCAGCGATCGCTGTCCACTGACACACCAGTTTAAATGCTCTATATTTCCATTGGCAGGCGCTGAGCATAGTAGGGATTGCAGTCTACATGGCAGGGGTTTGGGTTGTTGCCTTTCAGCCTTTGCACCCTTGTGTACTTAAAGCATGTGTTCCTTATCTGTACTAACCAGAAGCTCAAAACCCTATCCCATCTGCTATAACTCTTGTATAACTCTTTTACAAGCAAGCAAAACAGAGCTTACAGCTCTCTACTGTACTGTCATTAATAAAATCTATTTTAGTCAGCCATTGTAATAACAAAAATAAATAAATGATGCGTGCTAATATAGCTGCATACCTTAATAACAGGAATTGTGTTGCACACGTGTAGGTGCCTGGAATAGTTTTCCAGTGCAATAATTCCAAGAAACACACTTAGACACAACTACCGAGAGGAAAAGAGGAAAAAGAGAACTGTAACTTTAAGGCAGAGGAGTGTGGACAGACTGAAGCTGTGTAATATTTTCTGGGTTCTGAATGGTTGCTGCTATTATTATAAAGTATTATAAAATGTTGACTTGAAAATGTAAATTGGCATTACTTTAGAGAGGCCTGCTTATTTTAACAGGCCATATCTTGTTTAACGTAAGTCCATATTTTGGCCGAGGCTCAGTAGACTGTCATGACTGACATATGATAAATTTAAGGGGACAGCATTTCAATTAAAATCAACACACTGCTGCTAGGCACAAGGGAGAGATTTCCAGTTTATAGTAAGGTGGGTAGCGACCAGAAGTGTAAAAGCAATAGACACTAAAAAGTGTGAAGGGAGTAGACTCTTCTACACCACATCAAACTATTCTACAGGGAGTGCAATGGGCAAAGTGCAGTGAAAAGTCTAGAATGTTGCAGTATTCTCTGCAGGAACGGATAAGGGCACACATCATTTGTATTAGATTAAAAAGTGATTATGAAAACATTGTAGAATGTGTGGTGATAAAGGGCTCAGGTCATTCGCACTCTCTGCTTTTTCCTGCAATGTGATGGTCATCCATTTGGCATTCAGTTAAGTTGGCATGGTTCCGACGAGCAGAACTTGCTGATGAAAGTGAAAGGTTCTGGCATGTCGTGTGGATAAACAATCTCTTTCATGTGGTGAGATCTATGCTATTCCAATTAGTTACAGGGCTTACCACATGGCAGCGTCAATAAGGAGAAATTCCAAGGGTTGCCAAAGAGAGATCTTAGGAGGCAAGTTCTAGAGATATAAAGAGAGTGAGGGGAATACGAGGGGGGCGGTCAATGTAGGAAGCAGTGTGAGAGAATTCCAATAGCAGCTAAATAGAGAAGGTTTCCTGAGATTCTGTGATAAATAGGTCATTAACTTTTATTAGACATTGCCAGTATGAATGCTGTGTGACAGAACAGTGTCTTTTAGATGTACCAAAACAAGATGCTACAAAATTTTTCAAGAGGTTAAAGAACCACTATAGGCACCCAGACCACTTCAGCTTAATGAGGTGGTCTGGGTGCCTGGTCCAGCTAGGTTTAACCCTTTTTTCTATAAACATAGCAGTTTCAGAGAAACTGCTATGTTTATAAATGGGTTAATCCAGCCTCTAGTGGCTGTCTCATTGACAGCCGCTAGAGGCGCTTCCACACTTCTCACTGTGATTTTCACAGTGAGAAGACTCCTGCCGCGCATGCGCATTCAGCCGAAGAGGCGGAGAGGAGGAGGAGAGCTCCCCGCCCGGCGCTGGAGAAAGAGGTAAGTTTAACCCCTTCTTCACCCTAGAGCCCGGCGGGAGTGGGCACCCTCAGGGCACTATAGTGCCAGGTAAACAAGTATGTTTTCCTGGCACAGTGGCACTAAAGTGGTCCTTTAAAGCATAAAATAAGAAGTGAGTGTAAGCCAGGCGTAGTCAACCTTTTAATACCTACCGCCCACTTTTGTATCTTTGTTGGTGGTAGCATTTTCTTACCGCCCACCAGTGCCACAGTAACACATTTTAAAGCGCATGTGCGATTTTTTTTTTTTTAGAAAGGAGGGTTTTTAAAATAAATAAATTCTATTCTACTTTCTGTGTGTGTGAAGGGTGTGGTGTGTGTGTGAGAGAGAGAGGTGCAGTGTGTGAGGGGGCAGTGTGTGGAAAGGTGCAGTGTGTGCGTGTGAGGAGTTTAGTGTGTGTGTAAGGGGGCAGTGTGTGTGAATGGTGCAGTGTGTGAGGGGGCAGTGTGTAGGAGAGGGGGACAGTGTTTTTGTGGGAGGGGCAGTGTGTATGTGAGGGGGCAGTGTGTGTGTGAGGGGTAATCTGTGTGTCTGTGCGGGGGCAGTGTGTTTGGATAAGGGGTGTAGTGTGTGTGAAGGGTGCATAGGGTCTATGCTGTGTGTAGATGAGAGATGTGAAAATCTTTCTTAATGTCTCCCCCTCCCTTCTTTCTTTTACCATGGAGGCGGGACATAGTGCTGCAAGCCCCGGTGGTCCAGTGGTGGCATGTTCACTTTAGCCTGCAGCTCCTCCGGCTGCAGGCTGACTTTCCTGTCCTCCAGCAAGCAGGCACTGTATTGGAGCCTTGCCATGGTAACGCAGCAAAGCTCCGAGCAGCCTGCTTGCGGAAGGAACACTTCCCAGGCCTTTCCCTCCCTCCCCTGGAACTAAGTGCCAGCGGGCCGGTGAGGGAGATCTTTGATCTTCTCACCAGCCCGAGAAGGCTTACAGCAACACTGACTCTGCATGGGCCGGCAGCAGAGATGAAAAGATCTCCACTGCCGGCCTTGGTCCACGGCCATCAAGGCACACTGGGAGTTTTCTGCAGAACCTACCACCGCCCACCTGAAATCCCAAACCGCCCACCAGTGGGCGGTAGGGACCAGGTTGACTACCCATGGTGTAAGCTATTGAAAGCTGTTCTGTGCGTCAGGTAAAACAATAAGCTTTTTTTTTTTATCAATACCGAACTACTATGTAGAGTGAAAGGAGTTTGTCTAGGTATAGAGTAGTGGTAGATTTTCTGCATATGGATTTTAAAAAGCTGCTTTGTGTATAGAGGAAATGGAGCTACTTTGTGTTTGGAGCAAATTGACGATGGGTGATGGAGGTTATCTGTGTAAAGGTAGCTGGGTTGTATACAGAAAAAAATATAGATTTTCGGCATACAGAGTAAATGGAGCTGTTTTTTTTGGATGGAGTAAAGATTCTGAATATAGATCAATTTTAATTTGTATATGCAGTGTAAATTGAGCTGTTCTGTGCATAGTACAAAATTGCCTGTTCTGTTCACAGAATAGAGTTAAAGTGTAGACTAGAGTAATAGAGTGTTCTATGCAGGGTGGGATTAGCCATAAAGTGACCATAGGTGGCTACTTAGGGGGTTAAACAGGGGCAACTGAACCATGAAATTCAATGGGATTTTTAAAATTTATTTTTTTATTTGCCAATCTTTATTTTTAAAGTTTTGATACATTTTTGAAGGCACAGATACAAGAACAGGTAAAGATTCATCATATGGCAAGTATACTCCAGAAGACAGACCGCCAACATTGTTGAAAAGGATCTCCATTACTTTGGGTATAGCAGGGAACATGAATATGTTTGCTCAGTGAACAGTACTAGAAACGTCACTGCAATATGGTTTGTGATAAGAAACTAAAGGAACATTTAATTAGTGTTATTGCCAAAAAGGTTGGTGTATGTAGAGACTTTGTGTGTGGCTGGAGATGAGGAAATGTATAGCATGAAGAATGAGGGATCCCATGGGATCTTAATCCTTCTCCGGTTCCACATATAGTGCAAAGCGCGCTATGTCTTTAGATCACTTTGCACTAAACACACAACAGCTCATTTTGCATTATACTGTGTATAGTGTAAGGGGAGCAATTCTATAGAGTAAAGTGAGTTTGTAGAATTATTATTATTATTGGTATTTATATAGCTCCAGCTTATTTCGCAGCGCTTTACAATAAGAGGGGAATTTACCAAATGAGACAATAATAAAATGTAACAGAAACATTAGGTAGTTGATGACCCTGCTCAAATGAGCTTACAGTCTAGAGGAGGTGGGGTATAAAAACACAATAGGAAGGGTATTAAGGGAGACAGCAAATGGACATGATGGGAAAGTAGCAACTGAAAGTGAGTGCAGTGTGGCCCTATAGGAGAAAAGCAAGAGAAAGGATTACGAGATAGAAGTTACTCTTGGAGGCCATAAGCAATCCTGAAAAGATGGGTTTTGAGGGACTACAATTATTAAAGACTAGGGGAAAGTCTGACTGGGTAGGCAGGCTTTTCCAAAGGAAAGGAGCCACCGTGAGAAGTCTTGCAGGCATGAATTTGCAGTAAGGGTGCAAGCAGCAGACAGTAGAAGGTCACCAGTATAGCGGAGAGACCGAGATTGGGCATACCTATGAATCAGTGACGAAATGTAATAGATGGAGGGATTCTGTGTATAGTGCAAATGGATTCCATGTATAGTGCAAAGGGAGCAGGTCTGTGTCTATAGTATTCCTGAACAATGTACAGCATGTGCGTACATTAAAAGTACGGTAACTGTTTTCTGACAATAGCACCTTTTCTAAGCTGCCTGTGTCTGCCAGAGCAAAAGTAACAGTAATCTGAGAAAAGAAATGTCCAGAATTGGACATTCTGACTATATAGAGGAGCCAAATATGTCAAGGAAAGTGCATCTATAGTTAACTTTATCATTTTCCGCTCAGACATTTTTTCACATACAACCCCACTGTAATAATTATGCTTAAATTATACCTAAATTTGCATATGTGACTAACTCCCCAACTAAATTTCTGGACCTCATAAAGTGATACCAAGTGAAGTGTAGGTAGCTATCTCATTTATCTCTCATGGAATCTGATCCTGCTTTACATCGCCATCAAAGGTTTTCTGTCAAAGTGAAGGTGCATCTGTCCTTTCATTAATATCTGAGGGGGTAGTGAGTGGGGATTCCAGAATTAATGGGTAAACTGACATTTAATTGACTAGTAAGAAAACATAGATTGGAATGGTCCACCCCACGCCTCCACTCCAGATGAGCTAGAGGGGGATGCAGAACTGTCTAGTTCTTTTCAAACATTTTCTCCCAGCTTCATTTAAGGAAATATTTGTTCTGCTCAGTGAAATACTTTCTATATATAACATGAAGTGTACAACTGATCTTTATTTGTGTGTTTTAAGCCTGAATGAAGTGGAGCTATTTTTAACCTTGTGTCATCTTATTAAGCAAGCCGCTGTTTTGGTACTCAGTCCATATATGGAGAATATGAAACTGCCAATTAAACCGGATTAATTATGTTGAAGCCCCAGTCGGCGGATTACAGGCGGCCTTTAAAAGAGCAGACTTTCTGTGCAAGAACATTACATTGTTAGCAATGTCTGCAATAGAGTCATTGACTTCTTATTCATTATTTTCAATTATTTAAGTAGATTGTAGTTAGCTAATGTCAATTGTTTTGGAAATGTACCCATATGCTGTAGAGTATGCATTAAGGAATTTATACTAATCATTCTAAACCTGTATAGCTTTTTCTCCTTCTCGTATTTATTGTCACAGGCTAAGTTGCTGTAATCTAATATACATTAAAGTGACATTGAGAATATAACTAATGGAGGCTGATGTGCCATTTTGCTTTTCATGAAGCCTAAACAAGAGGCAGTGCTCCTACATTGGTTGTGACAACGACCCATGTATACATTCAATTATATAATGAATAGATGATATTCTGTTATGGTTCTCAATAGCTGATGGCAAATAGGAACAAATCCTAAGACACTAGGGCCTATTTCTTGAAGGGTCCATATACCGGTGGTTTGTGGTTCTGTATTTTCGTACACTTGCTTTCTGCCTCTTGCTAGTATGTTCATGCTAACAATTAATTAAACTCATGGCATATTTTTATTTTTTTTTTATTTTTTTGTTAAATGAACATTTTAGCCATGTCTGTTAGTGTTGCTATCTTGATACCTATGCTTTGAATGATTGATGTATTAACAGAATGCCTTTATGCATATATTACAGCACTTTGATCAACTGCATTATATTTCTAGATTGCTCAGGCCGAACTCCAGAAGACATGTTCAAGGTCCACAGCTGAAAGTCTACCCAGTGGATGTCCACATGTGTGCCAATGCAGACCACCTCCTTTACTGCCACCTCCACCCCCACCACCACCACCTCCAAGACTTGCACCACCTAGTAAGTACAAGATGGATATTATGTCTGTTGTGTTGGTCAGTAGGCATGCTGCGTCCAAATACATTGTACATTCTGGAGACATATATAAAGTAAGCTTTGCAAGGAAAAAATGGATAATCTGTGTGAAAGTTTTGTTAAGGAGTAGAACGTCAGAGAGGTAATCACTCCATTGAAGTTATATTCAGTAAACTCTGAGTTGTTCAGATATTATCTAGAATCAAGTAGTTAAACTTTCTACACTCATCAGTTGAAGTCAACAGGTTATTGTCATTTGGTTGGATGTTTATACAAGAAGCTATATAAGAGTTGTGTCATCTCCTTGAGTCTTTAGTAAGAGCCAAAATGTATATTCCAGAAAGACTTAGGCCCCCTAATCAACACACTACACATAGAAACAAGAATTTTCTAACAGAATATTCTCAAAGAGAAGTCTGTGATTGGAACAATTGCCAGCTTGGAGGGGATGAATGTGCTTTGTCCAAGGCAAAGGGAGAGCATTGGGAGATGGAGGGATAGAGGGTTCTTTAAAAAAAATAAAAAAATGAAGTGCATGCTGTGACAGACGATTAAAATGCACAGAATTGACATTAGGCAGCCTAGAACAGCATTCTGGATTGCCAAAGTCACACGTGCTGGGGATGCAACTAGCCCCCAGCACACAGTTAAGAATATATCTGTATATGCAGTATTTCAAGCAAACACACTGCACATACATACTCCTGCAACGATGGCCACTTTAAATCACTGAAGTGGTCATGGTGGTTAGAGTAACCTTTTAACAGATATTAAGGAGGGATGGGCAGATCCCTATGGTTTCAGTAGGAATGAACAGATTCTCAGGGTCACAGGATGAATAGGGAGCGAACAACAGATTAGCATGGCTGCAAGGTGTCTGGGCAGATTCTGAGGGTCTTCCTGAGCCTTAGCAGCATCAGTAGTGAGAATATGATTCATAGCCAGATGTTCTAGAATGGCAAGTTTCTGAATGGGAAGATTCTCAATGTCTTGGTGACAAGTTTTCTTGATAACACTATTTAGAGCTATATTACTGATTTGATGATACTCAAGCATTTTGATTAACAATCTTGGTACATTTATTCACCAGAACATCCACTTCCTATATACAGTCTATATGTTGCTTTATTAAATGTGATCTTATTTCGCTGCTTTGCAAATAAAAATAATTTCTAGATCTAATTAGAAATATTCAAGACACTACTGTATTTTTCCATGTATAAGAATGTTTTTTTTCCCCAAACAATTTTAGTCTAAAGTCGGGGGTCGTCTTATACACGGAATGTCACTTCAGGGTTAAAAAAAAAAACAACACTTGTGTGCGGGGCCAAAGTTAAGATGGCAACTGCTGCATTTCAGTGTGCCACAGCTCACACGCATACCTGGCCTCGCTCCCACCGATCCACTTCTGAATGCTTTGGCTAGGAGAAAAAGGTCCTTATATGCATGGGAGCTGCAGCAGACATCAGCACTTACCACCAACGGAGCTCCAGAGTAATTCCACACCATCAAAAGAGCAGCCAAAAGGTTTGCTCCACCAGGTCTTGCTTTCTAATTTATATTTATGGTGGGGGAAAGGGGATCAGGGAGCAGAGGGAATACTAATGTGATGTCCCAGCATGCCCCCACACCACCTGCTGTATTGTGGGAGCTGAGATTTCACAGAGTACTATAGCACAGGGGAGGCATGAGAATCAGAAGTGTGTTGTTCTCCTCAGACATCACTTCTTAAAGGACCACTATAGTGCCAGGAAAACATACTCGTTTTCCTGGCACCATAGTGCCCTGAGGTTGCCCCCACCCTCGGGGACCACCTCCCGCCCGGCTCTGGAAGGGGGAAAGGGGTAAAAACTTACCTTTTTCCAGCGCTGGGCGGAGAGCTCTCCTCCTTCTCTCCGCCTCCGATCCGCCCCGCCGGCTGAATGCGCACGCGCGCATTCAGCCCGTCGCATAGGAAAGCAGTGAGAAGCACGCAAGCGCCTCTAGTGGCTGTCAATGAGACAGCCACTAGAGGATTAAGGGGAAGGCTTAACCCATTCATAATTATAGCAGTTTCTCTGAAACTGCTATAATTATTAAAAAATGGGTTAACCCTAGAAGGACCTGGCACCCAGACCACTTCATTAAGCTGAAGTGGTCTGGGTGCCTAGAGTGGTCCTTTAAATATCAAAGTTGTTCTATTTGATGTGTAAAATATCTATTTCTTAATTTTGGGCTCAAAAATAGGGTTCATCTTATACATGGGGGAGTCTTATACACGGAAAAATATGGTATGTTAAAACTCTGATTAGACATGCCAAAACTGTTTTATAAGGTAGGATGCAAACATATCACATGCATACAAAATCAGTATAATTTAGTATTTTAAAAATGAAAAAACTAGAGAAACATCTATTTTTACTGTCTTTCCCTAGAGATGCATTTTTTTTTTTTTTTTTTTAATAATGATGTACAACACTTGTAAAAAATATATATCTAGGTTAGATCATATTCTACAACTAATTGTGCATTTCTTGCCTGTCACCAGAAAATGGAAAAAAAAAATCATAAAAGCACAATAACTGTCTATATATTAACATGTTTTTTAAATTGGATAATTAGTTTTATAATACTTAGTGAATGCCTTTTCGTTTGCACTCTCATTTCCTGTCTGTTGAGAAAAAAATATTGCCTTGACTATCCTTATTGGCTCATTATGCATAGTTCTCAGTCTTTGTAAAAGCTTTTATAACAAAGAGGTAAAATGTCATATGGATTAACAGAATACACGTGACAGGGTAAGCCAAACCCTAACATGCAAAATTTAGTTCTTACCCAAAAAAAGTCAGAGAAAAAGGGACCCTGTAATATCAATCCTAAGGGTTGGCCGGGCTTAAAGGAACACTCTAGGCACCAAAACAACCTCATGCTAATTAAGTTGTTGTGGTGCCAGGAGGACCTTGGGTGGATTCTTACCTTCAGGGGTTAAACCGTTTTCTAATGGTTTAACCCGGAAGCTGCCTCCAGTGCCGATATATGCCCCTCCCCCCGATGGGGGCTGATATTGTCAGCTGACCTGTCTTATCATCTAGGACAACCTATGATATTTAAAATAACACTACACAACCACGAAAGGGGTAGTCTAAGCACCATAATATCTACAGGCGATTGTAGTTATGGCACTAGTAGGCAGCTGCACCCTGCTCCCACAGCCTGTGTCATCATATTGCTAATGTGGAAGTTACATTCCTATTTGAAAAGCATTAATTTGGCTAAGAGCAGGTTCTGAGCTGCGGGTGCCTTGGGGACCCTGGATATGTCAGAACTCCTAAAAAAAGGGATTCTTCTGTGCCAGGAAAACATATTTGTATATTTGTTTTCCTGGCACTGCAGGACCCTGTAGTGCCCCTCTCCCTCCCACCCCCCATCCCAAGTTGCTGAAGGGGTTAAAACCCCTTCAGTGACTTACCGCAGTCCAGCGCCAATGTCCCTCGGCGCTGGTCAGGCTCCGCCTACTCTCCTCCCCCGATGTCAGCCGGCGGGGGAGACCTAATGCGCATGCGTGGCAATGGCCACGCATTAGAACTTCCCATAGGAAAGCATTATTCAATGCTTTCCTTTGGGGATTTCGGCAAAGCTGGAGGTCCTCACATAGCGTAAGGACGTTGAGCGTCGTATAACACACTTTTCGTGTTCTAAGAACACGGAAGTCCCTCTAGTGGCTGTCTGGTAGACAGCCACTAGAGGAGGACTTAACCCTTCAAGGTAAATATTGCAGTTTATGAAAACTGCAATAATTACACTTGCAGGGTTAAGGGTGGTGGGAGTTGACACCCAGACCACTTCAATGGGCAAAAGTAGTCTTGGTTTCCTGGAGTGTCCCTTTAACACTGAACCAGAGAACAACATCAGTAGCCTTTTAGCATCATTACAGCTACAACAAGCTTTAGTAGTTATGTTGTGCACCTTATATACAGTCTGCTGCCTTGATAATGAGTTGCCTCATCTCTTGAATTGTGTACACAATATATATGAACAGATAGAACATATATAGTTTAGCAGTGGTTTTGGTGCTAGGCAGCTATGGGTTTAGGCAGATGCTCTGTGTTTTGTCAAACTGTTTTTAAATGGTTTGACAACTCCCCCCACCCCCCAAAAAAAAGACATGTGCACAGTCTGAGCTGGTGACGAGGGGGTAGGTGGGGGCCGATATAGGGAGGTGAGGTTTAAAAAAAAAAAAAGGCATGTTAAAAGTATAGGGAGGCAAGAATGGTGTGGAAGGGGCTAAATGAAAGAATGGAGGGAGAGGAGATACATGTTTTCCCTTGCAGGTGCTGTCTGCAAAGGAGATGCTTACTACGTCTGTTGTTTCAAGCAGAAATGCTGCACATAGATATTCAAACCATCACGACCACTTCTAAAAGCAGAAGTGGTCATGGTTGTTGACATACGTTGCTCGCAAGCTCATCATCTAGAATATCTAGTGACATTTCCTAAGGCTGACCGCTTGTGGGTCAACATTATTATCCCTCTGTGGACCAGGGTTTGGAAAACTTCCAGTTTTTATGAAAGCCCTCACATGTTTCTGGTTCCTGAAGAGTTAAACGCTTTGCTAATGTGCAAAAAATGCCTATAAAGAAATGAAATATCTTTGTTGACTTGACCTGTTTCTGAAAGCTTTCAGATGACTGCGATAAAGGGATAATGATATCTAATGTTTCAATTTTTAAAAGTTAGGAGCATTTTATCAATCACTCCTCTGACCTTGCAGCCTTTAAAACTCTAATGTGGAATGCTATCAAGATGATTCACTGATAAATGCACACAGAAAATACCTCCTGAGAGAGAAAAATTTTCAAACAACAATCAGCCCTTTAAAATGTGCTCACTGGCGTCATACAGTTTGACATCAGTAATGTAACTTTATTTTAAATAGGTTTTTAAATGAGGAGTAAGGGAATATGGTACTTACCATGGAGTTGTTGCATATACAGAGATGTTATGTGAAATTATTTAGAATTTTTTTTTATCATCAACTATGTATCAGTGGGGCGGTTGGCTGTATATGTGGGGAGGGGGGAGGTGGGGGGTATGCTAATTATGAGTGGGGGCAAACTTTTGCTTGTTGTCTGGTCATCCAATCTATAATTTTTTGTGGTACAATCTAAACAAATTGTTGATAGTATAGTACTTTTAGGATTCTTTTCTTTCAGGAATTGTACTGTAGGATTGGAGGAGTCAGAAGTGGTTCCTATATTTAAAAAAAAAAAGGCTCAAAATCTTTGCCTGAAAATCAAAGATCTGTGAACTTGACATGTGTGTCTGGGAAAGTATTTGAAGGGTTATTAAGGGTTGATATTCAGGAATTCATTGAGAAGAACTTTGTTATTTGCAAAAATCAGCATGGTTTAATGAAACATAGGTCACTTGAAACGAACTTATTTGCATTCTATGAAGAAGTAAGTAGAAGTATAGATCAGTTGCAGTGGATGTAGTCTACTTGGACTTTGCCAAAGCATTTAATACGGTTCCGCACAATACGTTTGTGTTCAAACTAAAAGAAATTGGTCTAGATAATAATTCTTGTTCTTGGGCAGAACATTCACTTTAAGATAGAGTACAGAGAGTTGTCATTAATGGTACATTGTCAAGTTGGACAAAAGTATTAAATATAGTGCCCTCAGTATTCTGTTCTGGGACCGCTTCTATTTAACATTTTTATAAATGATCTTGAAATACTCACTGAAAGTCATGTTTCAGTGTGCTTTGGCCAGTAAGCCACTGGTAAAATAACACATTGAATATGCAATTTTGGGCACCTGTTCTAAAGAAGGATATTACGGTATTATAATAATTGCAGAGACAGGCTACAAAATTAGAAAGGGAAACTATTTATCCTTGACTCTATAATGGCATTTAGATTTCTCCTTAAATCAACATAAATATCAATTATACCCTGGAATATTTGTTAATATAAAAAAGCACCAAAGGATTTTCTAAATTATCCATAGAATTTGATAAGACAGTCTCTTTAGGCAGAGAAATCCATATCTTTATTGTTCTTACTGTAGAGAACATACTTTCCTCTGCTGTAAGCACACTTTTCTCCAGTGGGTGAAATCAGGCCTGTTGTATATTCCAGCTAATGAAACGGTTAGCATATAGCAATTTGTACTGAACCTGTATATATTTTTATAGTTCTATCATATCTCCTCTGAAGGTTCTTTTTTTTCTAGCCTTTCCTCATAATTAATGTTTTCCATGCCTCTTATAAATTTTTTAGCATAAAAACTGGTGTCCAAAATTGCATGGTATATTTAAAGGACCACTATAATGCCAGGAAAACAAACATGTTTTCCTGGCTCTATAGCGTCTTTAGGTCCACCCCCCACCCTCAGGGTCCCACTCCCACCGGGCTGAAGGGGGAGGAAGGGATTAAATTCTTACCTTTCTCCAGCGCCTGGCTCCCTTGGTGCTGGGGACTCTCCTCCCTCTTCCGACGTCATCTGCTGAATGCACACGCGCGGCAAGAGCAGTCCATAGGACTATAGACGCTAGCAGTCCATAGGACTATGGACGCTAGCATCTTCTCACTGTGAAAATCACAGTGAGAAGCGCGGAAGTGCCTCTAGCGGCTGTCAATGAGAGAGCCACTAGAGGCTGGATTAACCCTAATGTAAACATAGCAGTTTCACCTATAGTGGTCCTTTAAAGTGGGATCTTACCATTGATTTGTAAAAAGGCACAATTATATTTTGATCAGGTGAATCAAAATCCTTTTCCATACACAAAAGCACCTTCTGCACAAAATTCTGAAGAAGCCTGTTTAGGTGAAACGCGTAAAGTGGGACTTTTTATCATACTTTTTTATCCTTTACTGTTTTAATTATATTAAAGTATACTTTTTAAAGTTACTTTTTATATATATTATTTTTTATTTCCTGGATCCTGTATATCCTTGGTGGGGATTATACCATCTAAGCTGTTTATACTGGAGCAAGTTATATGCTCTAGAAAGTGTAAGTACAATACTTTTTATTATTTAATATATTATTAGTACTTACTTCACCATATTACTACTATCTCTTCTTATACCTACTATGCACACTGCACCTTGAGAACATCCGTGGCAACTACTACGAATCCTAAGACGGGGATTGTACCGTCCAGGCGCTTCACAGTAGAGCTCTGTTATAGCTCATTCAAATGTGAGTGGACTGTACATAGCTATAATTGATTGTATTTAAGATTTAATCTACTGTATTGCACTATTATTTTTTATCTTAATTTTTTCCGAGGCTACGATTGATTGGAATATTCAAGGATATATGTATGTATTTTTTTGCATATATAAATTACTAGGCGCGGTATACGCCTTCTTTTCTTTCTATTATTCACTCACAAGGTTGGGGAATCCTTGTTCTGTATACTGCTGCCTGATCACTATAGTGAGCGCCTATCACTCTCTCTTTATATTCAACAAAAGCACCTTACTAGCTTTTGCAACAGCAGACTGGCATTACATACTCTTGCCTAGTTTGTGATCTATAATGATTTCCAAGTCCTTTTCATTTAAGGTTATCCCTAACTCAACCCCATATATTGTAAAAGAGTATTTTGAGCTCTTTATTCCAAAATGCATGGGGTCCATAAAAATCATTGTCTGGAAATCTATTCACAAATAGCTCTATACAAAGGACACAAGGTCATGCGTTTAGACTGGAAGAAAGGAGATTTAGTCTGAGGCAAAGGAAAGTTGTTGGGTTTTTTTACAATAAGAACAATAAGGATATGGAATTCTCTGCTTGAAGAAGTGTTTTTATCAGAGTCTATATAGATGTTTAAACTGCAACTGAATTCGTACTTGCAAAAACATAAAATGTTCAAGCATATAATTTCTTGATCACATAATAAATCTGACTGCTATTCTCAGCTGAAGAATGAATGTTTTCCTAATTTGTTGCAAAATTGATAGGTTGCTTCAAACTGGGTTTTATGCCGTCTCTTGGATCAACAATAAAACACAGATGTGAGAAAGGCTGAACTTGATGGACACATCTCTTTTCAGCCTATGCAACTATATGTACCCAAGTAACAGAGCAAGAGGCTAGCAAAAGGTAGATGAGGGACTTCACGATAAGTCTAGTGGGCGGGAGAGAGAGATTATGGGAAAATAAACCCACTTTCCCAGCGTTCCTATGAACACCCAGTATGTCATAGGTTGCATTAAGTAAACTAAACAAAATGACAAGGTGAACTATAAAATGTTGAAATCATAAGCTAAGCTGTTGATCTGGTGAGTGGCTGGTACAAACGGGTGAGCTCGAGCAGGATCCCATGTATACAGTTGCAGTGAGTGTGTTGGGGGATGTGGCCCCTTAGCAGTGGTAGACAGCCCAAGCGTCTGGAGTCTACAGGCTACTTCTGAGGCCTTGCAGACCTTCAAAGTCCCCGAATCATGTGGAATCAGGAGCCATCTTGGCAAATCCCACTTGTAAGGTATCTTATGAGTGTCGAGTTCCTCCTTCATTACAGATGCAGTGCAGCTCCTTTTTTACATTGATATGGAGAATGCAGTGCAGCTTCTTTCTTACATTGGATATGGAGAATGCAGTGCATCTCCTTTCTTACATTGATATGGAGAATACAGTGCATCTCCTTTCTTTTTCTTGGATATGGAGAATACAGTGCAGCTCCTTTCTTACACTGGATATTGAGAATGCAGTGCAGCTCCTTTCGTACATTGGATGTGGATAATGCAGTGCAGCTCCTGTCTTTCTTAAATTGGATATGGATGATGCAGTGCAATTCCTTTCTTACATTGGATGTGGATGATGCAGTGCAGCTCCTTTCTTACATTGATATTGAGAATGCAGTGCAGCTCCTTTCTTACATTGGATATTGAGAATACAGTGCAGTTCCTTTCTTACATTGGATGTGGATAATGCAGTGCAGCTACATTGGATGTGGATAATGCAGTGCAGCTCCTGTCTTTCTTACATTGGATGTGGATAATGCAGTGCAGCTCCTGTCTTTCTTACATTGGATGTGGATGATGCAGTGCACATTGCTCCTGTCTTTCTTACATTGGATGTGGATGATGCAGTGCAGCTCCTGTCTTTCTTACATTGGATGTGGATAATGCAGTGCAGCTCCTGTCTTTCTTACATTGGATGTGGATGATGCAGTGCAGCTCCTGTCTTTCTTACATTGGATGTGGATAATGCAGTGCAGCTCCTGTCTTTCTTACATTGGATGTGGATGATGCAGTGCAGCTCCTGTCTTTCTTACATTGGATGTGGATAATGCAGTGCAGCTCCTGTCTTTCTTACATTGGATGTGGATAATGCAGTGCAGCTCCTGTCTTTCTTACATTGGATGTGGATGATGCAGTGCAGCTCCTTTCTTACATTGGATGTGGATAATGCAGTGCAGCTCCTGTCTTTCTTACATTGGATGTGGATAATGCAGTGCAGCTCCTTTCTTACATTGGATGTGGATAATGCAGTGCAGCTCCTGTCTTTCTTACATTGGATGTGGATAATGCAGTGCAGCTCCTGTCTTTCTTACATTGGATGTGGATGATTCAGTGCAGCTCCTTTCTTACATTGGATGTGGATGATGCAGTGCAGCTCGTTTCTTACATTGGATATTGAGAATGCAGTGCAGCTTCTTTCTGACAGTAGATAAAGTGCATTTCCTTACCGACACTGTATCTCCGAACTGTCACATTTCAGGCTAAAAACACCAAACTGTGACTATAGTACAGCTGGAGAATTTTTCAAGTTAACGGTTTTAGTCTAAATTTTACAGTGCGGTTCTCCTTTCTCTACAATTTAGTGTTTAGTGAATAAACCCCATTAAGGGCACACAAAGGGCAGTTAAGAATTAGTCAGGTGTAAGATTATGAATACCAGATACAGTGGAATTTCCCTTTAAGTATTTATTTTTATCGATACAGATGTTTTCACTCAGGATTTTTCTTCCATCTCTAATTTGCTTTTGTAGCCGAGGCCTGCACTGCATCTCCAGTACTTAGACATCAAATGTCACATTAAATTGTAAAATATTCATTTTCAGACATCTGGAATAATTTTTTAACGCTGGGAAGAGCACAGACCTTTGGCAGCAGTTATCAGATCTTTAGCTGAAAGTCTGACATGTAGATGTTTGGGATGTTCGCTGCGAAACAATTGGCCATTTCTATGAGTTTATTTAATAACGTGGACGAGATCTAAAAATAGCATGGATCAAATCCTAAATAGAATACACCAGCCAAGCGTGTTCATACAATGAACAGTGACAAAACTATGTTAAATTGTGCCCAAGTATTAATTCATTGGCTTTTCTGGTCTGTGCAGCTTAAAAAAAATAAATAAAACAAAACCAAAAAAAACAAATGAAATGTTCCACAGTCTAGCCATTATGAAATATTGTTCTATTTAATTATTACAAAAATGTTCATTGTAACAGTCTCATTATTTATTGAGAATATATGGTATTTTGGTTTATTACATGATATGATGCTCTAATAATATTTCATATTTGATATCAGAAAAACACACGGTCACACTCATTGAAAATCAACACCCGTATGATGGCTCTGTCAGAAATGTAAAAAGAAACGTTCATTTGTGTGGTCTTCATGTATAGTTGGGTACATGTCTCCCAGACCCTCCACCTCCGCCAAAGAGACTATATTAACTATGGACTAGCCCTCCAACCCACATCTCCCTGGCCAGCATCCCTTCCTGGCTATACAGAACCGCCCATCGTTCACTAACGGGAGCGCTGAGTCCTGACGGTGAGTGACTCTAAATTACCCTGGAACTCTGAAGTGGATACCAAAGTCACCGCGGTCTGCTAAAACTTTCAGCAGAGCGCTTTCGGTCTCAGAACACTCAATCAGGGTACTTTGTGGTAAGTTAAAGGTGGGGGGGGGGGGGCATCAAATGACACCAATAACTTGGGCTTAAATGTTTTCTTGCCAATGGCTAGTGGATGAGTGGAAATTTTGAACACTGTGTTAACCATTGTATTAATGTTATTATTAAAAGGAAAAAACAAAAACGGAGCAGAAAATCTAAATGATCGCTTTCGAGGTCACAATTATCACGAAATATATATTGATAGAAATATATACCGGAAATCACCGTTGTAATGAGCATAAAAGAGAAAATGAGCATGAAAACAGCAAAAAGACTATAATAAGAACTACAAAAAAAAATTTAAACTGAGGGTCGGAACAAATTTGCAAATATCCCTATAATGTTATAGTCCTGCATTCTAAGAAAAGTTGGGTTGACACGAAAAACTGGCATTGGTATCTGGTACGGAGAGCAGTATTAGTCCCAGTGACGCATGAGGTAATAATCAATTCTCTTGGTAGGTTCAGAATAAAGAATTAAGAAATTAATATGTATTTAAGTTTCAATGTATTACTGTCAGGAACTTACCTGTGCCTGGTGCCCAGGCCATCCCCCACCTCAGGCCACGAAGGCAGAACGCACCATGTGGCCGCATTACCGCAGTCCTCAGGCCGCGCGGCCAGAATGCTCCACGTGGCCTTTGTAGAAATTACTCACCTATGGTCCCGCGAACGGCTCCCTCTGCTGGTTTGCGGGCCGAACTGCAGCCACTATAAATAAAATATTTGCCATGACCTTAAAGGGACTACGCCATCTATGCGACCCAATGCTGTTTGGGGTCACAGAGATGACCTGGACCTATAGGAACTCTTTTAAGCCTATTTAAGGCTTGTTTTGGCCTCCATTCATTGCCCTATCGTGGTTTGTTGTTGGATCCTCATTTAGTGCTCCTAGAGATTCCCTTGTTATTTCCTGTGTTTGACTTCGGCTTCATATTTGACTTGTGATTTCTGGTATCCTCACCCGGCTTTGTTATACTCAGTGTATGTTTGTATTTCTGACCTTGATTTATTCTTGACTTTGTTACTCGCTATATTAAATACGTTAAGTCCGGCCATTCTAAGGCTCAGTAATACGTCTTTCGGACCCACCATTTGTGGGTTTCCTTTTTCCTGTGTGTTGGGGTACGACTCCCGTGACAATCACAAAGTAGGAGCAATAAATCCATTTGTAATGCACATCATTTTCCAATAAAGGGACCCTATAGGGTCAGGAATGCAAACATGTATTCCTGACCTGTTAAAATCACTATAGCCCCCGACCCACTCTTTCCTCCCTAACTATAGTAAAATCTTACCTTTATTCCAGTCTGCCTACGCTGACTACTCCCCCAGTCTGCTTCCTTGGCTGACATCAGAAGTGATGATGTCAGCCAATCACAATGATTTATCATAGGAAAGCATTGGATTGGCTGAGACCGCTAATTCTGATGAACATAACCAAGGAGACCGGGCAATGGGCAGGGCCAAACTGCACCCTGGCCAATAAGGATCACCCCATAGAGATGCATTGAAACAATGCATCTCTATGAGAAAAGTTCAGCGTCTTCATCAGAGCTTGGAGGAGCCGAACGTCAGACTGAGCACCACTGACCCAGTGATCACCACTAGTGGCTGGCTGAGGAGTGGCCACTAGAAGTGCTTATAGGCTGCAATGTAAACACTGCCTTTTTTTGGAAAAGATAGTGTTTACAAAAGCCTGCAGTGACATGGTATCGACACCAGAACAGCTACATTAAGCTGTAGGTGTTCTGGTGACTATAGTGTATTTCACTTTCAGCAAATCACAGAGAGAGTTTGGTAATGTAATCGTGTAGTATCTATGTGTTTTGTCCTTCTCGAGGACTTTATCAAGACAATAATGATCTCCCCCTCTTATGTGGCTCACTAATACTGCCAGAATAATCTGTCTACAAACAGAACTGTCCTCCCATGATATATTTAAAGTAAGAGGAACCATTCCAGAAGCCATTAGGATTATATAGTTGGACATAATAACAAACCAATGAGTGGCTATAAATAACCCTGTATCTCACATACAAATAAATAAAACTGATGTCACACAACTCAGAATTAAGCCTAACAGATTTATAAATAAAAACATATATGTTGGCTGATAATAGGTAACAATATTGTCAAGGAATAGTCTCTAGGTACACAATATAACTAACCAGACCAATAGTCACCAAAAACCAAGATTAAGAACAAGCTAGTTTTGATACAAAATAATGTAACTTCCTATATATTTCCTAAAAGAGTTGGATAGTAAGGAGATACAAAAGGATAAGGAAGAACTGGTCAAAATTGGATGGGATATGGCAGTTATTATGCTGCACCCACAAAGATACCCTTTGCAAATGGAAACTGCAAGTAGTGTTCAGCAAATCCACGAACAGCACTGGGATTCGGCTATATGAAGGGCCACCGAGAAAGAGGGCAGTACTGAGTCACGTAATGCAATCAGAATTTTGACTGTCCTTTATTACGGAATGTTTCTTAGAAACAGGCCATGTAGAACAATAAACAAATCAAGCAAGATTATTTTAAGTGTAATTGTTCATTACCATTTACATGGCATTTATATATAATTTAGAAAATCCTGTTTTTGTGTGTTTATACAGTTCATCTTAATTTCACTGCCATCTTCTGTAGCTTTGGATGAGAGTGAACAGGTTCATGCAGGAGATCTATGGTGTGTCACGCTTTTTATCTACTAAGGTTTAAATTAAAGAATATCACAGTCTACATAATACTAGCAGATATGCTAGCAAATACGAATGAGCAACACAGTGCAATGAATTGAAGACTTTATCAGGGGTAGGCAATAATGTAAACTTTAAATACTAAGCACAACTGATGGTAGCAAAATCAGCATGTAAGGATATCTTGTAGGAAGATTTCCCATCATCTTTAAATGAATGCTACAAACTTCAAGCCCAATACATGTCACCCCCCCATTAGCTGACACTGTAGGCCAATGAGTGAATCTCTGCATTGCAGAATTTACATCAGGAGATGGAGCCAAGACATCAGGAAAGAAGCCTAATTGGTCAAATATAGTCTCACTCCTTACAATGGAGGGGTGCCGGTGCTCTCCACACACCATAACTGTCCACTACAGAGAGCTGTAATTATTATGGTGCTCTGAGAATTCCTTTAAACTTCACAAGCCACCACAGACTTTAACATCTCACAAAGACCATTAACATGTAATATTTCAATATGATAAATATATATTCACTACCCAAGGAGCAATTATATGTTTAGAGAACCGTCATGTCAGGTTTACTTTAATCCACATAAAGCTGTGAATGGTGCTTGGGCTCTGAATTTGGGTCCGTGGGGCTTTCAAGAGACGAACCACAACCTGCCTTCTACAGCGCCATCTGTTGGTCAGACTGAATAAGCTGTGTTTTCACTTTATCAGCCACTCACTGTCTCTAGCCTGTGAGCAGATAATTTCCAAAGTGCAAAATGAGCCGTACTCATTCCATTTTGTAAATAACTCGTGATACTTTATACAAGATGCAGCGCTCTAACGCATTCACTAAACAGCAATTTCATGTCTCACAGAATGTAATAGTTTTATTTAACAACACCTCACCTAGGCAAAAAATAATGGGGGGTAGAGTTACTGTATATGATCATATATTGCATAAGCCTACCACAACGTCAATGTACCCTATTCTAGGAAGGTCCTACTCTAACATGAAACAAAGCTGCAGAGAGCATGTGATGTCAGCAGCCAATCAGTGTCTTCCTTGCAGAGTAGCCTCCAACATTCCGCTGTGCAAGGAAGCAGTGAAGGGTTCTTTCAAATCTCTGATTATTCTTTGTGCCCTGCATGCCCAATATTAGCAAGAAATCTTATTTTTTTAATACAAATTTAACTGCTTAACAGATTGAAAAATGATCAACACAAAGTATACGTTGTTTCTAAAATGCTGCATTATGATGCAAAGGCGATTTCTAATGATAGGCCAGTTTGAAAAAAGGAAGTTTAAAATTTCCCACATTTTTAATGCTTTTTTTTCGTTACTATTATCAAGAATTGCGTTGAAGCATTAATATGTGTGTAGTGTCTTGTGGACTATAAAGCATTATTCAGTATTTTTTATAAATAATATAATGTTCTAAATCCTTTTATACAATCCGCATGACAGTATGTGTGCAGACAAATAATACAGAAGTATGACTGCTAAAGAAAAATGTTCTATATATTATATATGAATAGTCAAGACGTGTGCTGGAGTGATTTATTATAATTAGATTGAGAGAGATGTTGGGCTTTTTCTGAAGGAGAATTCATTATAAAATTCTTCTTTGGCCGGAAACACAAATCGATATCTCCTGTAGGCTGGAGTCTTCAGCATGCCATAAATCTGCTGAAAAAACTTCCCCTTGCTTTTCAATTAAAAATTCCTTAGATCCTAATCCTAACGACTGCTGTCATAAAATCCGTCTTGCCTGGTTATTGGTTTTAAATGTAACAAAAATCTGATTTAGCTAAAGGCCACATATTTTTGATGCATTTTTCTTGTTCTCTAACCTTTACTTATATGGCTCGGCTCCAGCCAGTTAATTCACAAAGATTTAACCCTGTTGCTCTGAGAAAAGGTAGGAGACCGGCTCCATTCCCCTGTTGGATCTTTGCAATGCTCAGTTTTGCAAATAACTCTGCTTAGTCTTTGAGAAAGTAAAATGTAACAAACTATATTTTATGGTGCCTCTTGCCATGTTAATTTAAAGGAGTTTTCTTATTGCTGTTTTTTATGACATTTTAGACTCAATATTTAATGTAATGATTTTCTTTTACCTCTTAAAGGGGAGCTGTAATTTCTCTGGATTTTTAATGTAACGTTTACTTATTCCTATATATAAACAAATGTGTTTTTTGATGTGCAAAAAAATTAATTAAGTGTGGTAAATAACACTCAAGGATGCTTGTTTATGTTTTGCAGTTAACAATACTTCATGCTGTGCAGAAAACAACTGGTGGCATTTCCTGGTCATTGCCATTGCTGCAGTACTTCTCTTTGTAGTCATTATTATGTGTTACAAAGCAATAAAAAGGTAAGATTCCTTTTTTTTTTTTAAATTTAAGATCCTTATTTCCATCACTTTCATTCCTTAGCCATTGTAATGAACCCATGAGTAAAAACGTAGGGTAAATATTCAAGGGTTTCTTCAGTACCATGACCACTTAGGTCCGTATGTGCAGTGTTTTATTGTGAAACGCTGCACATACCTAGTTTAACCCCTCTGCTGCCAAAGGGGAACTCAACCTCCTGCAGCGTCATTAGGGAGCCATTAGCAAACCCAAAATCAGGACTGTCTATGTCAATTCCGTGCATATTCCTAAGCACGTAATTGCATTTATTGATTGAGAGCGGTCAGGATTGACTTTGGGTTTCTGCAACTCTGCACAAGCTGAATGTCGTCACTGGCTACAGAGGAACCAAGGAGCCCAGCAGGGACCCAGGTAGGAGGGCAAATCGTTGTGAAATGGTTTTCCACATTACCAATATATGGAGCCAGAACTTTCCTGGCATTGTAGGCTGACATGGTTATGATGCTTAGTGTAACCCTTTAAATTTTATTGTAGAAGACAATGCCTGTCCAGTAGAATTTCTAACCATTAACCTCAAATCTACATAACAAAGTTAAATAGTTGAGTTCACAGGAAGAGTTTTAGAGAGGATTTATAAGGCTATGGGCTGTAGCCACAGTCTGGGTAACCTTACATGGTGCGAAAATCCATAAAGTTTTTGCTATTGATCTAAAAGGTCAAAATCAAATTCCCGCTTTTGCCACAAACTAGATTTCTTCTTGAATCAGCGAGTTATTACTCTGCGTATTCCATCTTCTTCTCTTAAAACATTTTCTTTAACATTTAAAGAAACTGATAAGACAGCCTATACAGGCAGATAAAGCCACAAATTGCTGTAATGAACCATTTCCTTGGCTGTAGGTGAATTATCCTTTTCTTTAATTCTCTTTTCTTTTTATTTGTATAGTCCTGTTATTGAACAGGTTACTAGAGAGCATGTAACTAATCATTGTTGGTCCAACAGTTACAAAGCGAATGTAGTTTTTAAATGAAAAGGTGACGAGCTAAACAGACATGGGCAGATCCATGCTGATTGTATTGGGTGAGGTGTATGCAAGTCCTTTGCTGCCATGTAAATTCATACCATTTCATACCTGTTGAACTCAATGGAAGGGGTAACCTCTTTTCCCTGCTCAAATGCTGGCTATATAGCCATTACCAGGTATGAATAAAGATATGATGCCTCCCAACACCTCCATTGCTACGGAATGTTATAGCTCTCCTGCCTACTTTAGCAATAAACTATGATGGATGGATAGATTTATCACAGATGAACTATTGTGGCTCCAAAATATTTTCCAGCATGGGGAATGGAGGTCAACCCATTGCAATCAGACTTCATAAATTAGATCCGTTTTACATATGGCATTTGGTGTCATTTGACTGATTTATCCACTAAACTGAAAGTTGTGTAGAGCTAAAAGCAAATTTGAAATTTATGAAGTCTGATTACAATGGGTTGACCTCCATTCCCCATGCTGGAACATATTTTGGAGCCACAATAGTTCATCTGTGATAAATCTATCCATCCATCATAGTTTATTGCTAAAGTAGGCAGGAGAGCTATAACATTCCGGCCCTACCGTCTGTTAATACCACCTGCAGACCCATATTAATCTACAAAGAGATAAAAACAACCCATACAACAATACTAACAGGCTGTACGATCCTTACCCTACACTCCCAAAATGGATTTTCTAGACCTTTTGTAAACCATTACCAATAACGCAAGTAAAAGGGTTTCTGTAACAATTTTTCGCTTGACTTTTTAAAAAATTTTTTATTAAAAGGCCTTAATGGTCCCTTCTATGCATATTCATCCCCAGGGCTGGATTTACATAACAAAAGCTTGTTGTCACAGAATTCTCAGGCACCTCCAATCTCCCCACCACCAGACCACTTCCAAACTAATAAGTAAAACTTACCATTTTACATATGATAACTGTTTTATGTATACACATAGAATGAGAGTATAACATGTGCACATCGTAGCGGTTTGTGTAAATATCTGAGTGCATGCATTTCTCTGTAGCGTGTGTGTGAAGTGTGGGTAAAAGCATGTGTAGTAGTTTGTAGTAGTGTGGGTGCACAGTGTAGGTAGCCGAGCTGTGTGTGTGCCTGTCATTTCAGATTGCCAGAGTCTAGATGTCTCCCCTCTCCTTGCAGCAGATCGCTGTGTGAGTGCTTGTGCCATTAGACACGAGGCAGGGAGGTGTAGTTTAACAGACATGATACTAAACACTAAACCTTTCAGAGCAACAGCGGAGAGAGGAAAACTGTAACTCTGTTGCTGCACTTAAAGGAACGCAAAACTAATGTAGAAAGGTTTTGGGTGCGTGCTTAACCTTCCCAGCAGCTGTGTCGCCAGGGCCAAAGACTATTCATCTTGGGCAAGAATCAGTGTAATGTAGCTACTGAATTTGAGGCCTGGACTTAGTACATTTTAAAGCGGCACCGTCACCCCTTCCCTAACTTGCAAAATTATATATTCTATTTTATAAAGAAAGAATCGCTCAGGGCGGAGTCCAAGTGTCAATCCCAACAGCTGTCACCAGGCGGCTGCAGGGATTTGGCTGTATCTATGGAGGGTTTTGCGGTGTCCTCCATAGAACTCAATGCAGTACTCCTGCTTTTCCTTACCTGCCCCACCCCCCAGCGGCGATGTCACTATCAAGGAGCTTTATATAATTGATATATTATGATTATGCTCCATAAAATGGCCAGTTATCGGTAGTTCCTTCTGTCTAGTTCTAATGGTAGATCTGTGCTTATGAAGTCTCTCACGGACCTTCATTGTGAGTCTCTCCTACATAGTGAAGGCCACACGGGCACTTTAGGACATAGACAACAATGGCCAACTCACAGGTGAAAAAATGGCCAGTTATCGGTAGTTCCTTCTGTCTAGTTCTAATGGTAGATCTGTGCTTATGAAGTCTCTCACGGACCTTCATTGTGAGTCTCTCCTACATAGTGAAGGCCACACGGGCACTTTAGGACATAGACAACAATGGCCAACTCACAGGTGAAAAAACATTTATATTAAAAGAACGACCTGTTTGGGGATGAAAGAATTAGTCTTCTGTAATGATGGAATTACAAGAACTACAGTTATGGCATGGAAATGTGCCATAAACCGGTGTGAAAAGAAATCGTTGCGGTCCAAAGTGTTTTTATCGGCTTGAACTAACGTGTCCCTAATGTTCTGCGTTCTTTTATACGAAAATAAAGGAGTAGCTTGAAATTCCGGAATATCCGGAAAGGATCTTTTCAAGATCCCCCAATGTTTGCAAACAATGTATGCAAATTTGTTACTATGTAAATTAAATGTAGATACAAAAAGGTATCCAGGTCTGGTTATTAGAGGTTTTTTGTTTAGAAATCTCTCTCCATATCCAATACTTTTTCTTTTTCTGAATTAAGGAGTGCAGCTGGATAGCCACACCTAAAAACGTATACCCTATCTCATTGAGACGCTGTGATTGTGTTGTGGGGTCTGACACATTCCTGGCTACTCTAATGTAGATGACTGCAAGGTAGAGGGCGGATGGTCCATTGGGGATGGAAACTATTAAATTCCAATAGGCTATTTCTGTCTGTGGGCATGGTATATAAATCTGTCAAAAAAAACTATCTCCGTTACGAGTAATCTTAAGGTTCAGAAAGTTAATAGTAGTCACACTACATTCCATGGTAAACTGAATTTCTCCACAGATAGCGTTCATGTCCCCCCCAAAATTATCAAGTTCTTCCCTAGTGCCACACTATATGCCAAACACGTCATCAATGAATCTCCACCAGACATGCGGATTCGCAATGAACAAGTCATGTACATACACGTGTCTGGTTTCGAAACCATCCATGAACAAGTTGGCATATTATAGAGCCATATTAGAGCCCATGGTCGTGTCCCTAAGTTGTCTATAATAACTATCTCCAAACAATAAATAGTTCCTATGTAGCAACAAGTCCGAAATCAACATAGACTGTAGACTCCATGTCATGTTTTAGAGTTTATTCTATGTATGTGATTAATAAACAGGTGATGTGATTTATCAATTAGTTTAATTGGGGTTCGGGGTTATATAAGCACTTTGTAATTTTGTATCCTTAATGCATGATTAAGGCTCTGAGACGAAATGTCGCACTTTGGCTTTTTATGAGGCAGTGTACCAATAAATAAACATACCTTCTTGATCCTGGAGTGTATCCTATGTTCTTCAGCTTCTGAGTAACATAGACCATGACAGGGCAAAGGGTAGTGGTCAGTATGGCCTTATATATCCCCAAGTTGTATTCAATTGGCCTGCATCAATAATGACGCCAAGACATGCGCAACTTGAATCATTAGATCGGCAGATGGGTTTGGTGTCAAAATATGACGTGGGTCTCGGGGCATATATATAGAGGGAGAGAGAGAAAAGAAAATTGTTCTGCATTAGTATTGATATCAAGATGATGCTCTGCATCAGGAGGCATGGAGTAAACTTCATTGAAAATGATGAACACTGTCAATGTGTATGTGTGAGCATCCAGAAGACACTGGAGTCGTTACAGGGGCTCACTGATTATTTTAAAAAATCCTTCCATCTCACAGGGAATGAGGTTATAGACCTGCACAGTGCTATTGAAAGAACACTATAGTGCCCCTATGTATCCCTAATGCCATAGTATTACCCTACCTATTATGGTGTATGTCCGACCTTACCTTACTTCCTGTGGCACACTCATTTTCATCAGTCTTGATGATCTCAAACACTCCAATGATTTCCTATAGGGAAGCATTGTGAGGCAAGTGTTCATGCGCATCAAAGCACTGTGTTGTGACAATAAAATGCTGTCTATGAGAAACAGTTGATTTAATAACCAAGTCTGACTCTGTTATTGCAGCAGAAGTACCTGTAAAAATTGTCATTCCTCCAAAATGGCAATGCTTTTCATTGTAGGATATTAAAATGCACTACACCCAGACCACTTTGAGTCTCCCTTTAACATTGCCCTCACTGGGACTAGTTTGTTAATGCTATATGTGTTGGCATTTTTTTTATTATCAGACTCTACCATCTTACTCCATTTTACTCAAAAAGAGCAATTTGAATGGGAAAGTGAACTTGAAAGTCAGAGTAGCATTTCACAGCGCTACACCTATTTCCTTTTTTTTAGCATTTAACCTCTATACATTTCAATGGCAGATACAATTCAAATTGACTTGTCTAGCCTGACTATTTCCTTTTAAAAATAACAATTTGTAATTTTGCCTTCTCAAGCCATCTCTGCATATATTGCATGCATTCTTCAGTGCTTTTCAAAATAGAAAACCAGTGCACACAAGGGTGATCTTTATATGCGTGCAATGGAATTAAAAAAAAAAAAAACAGAAATTTGCATCTAAACAATGAATTACATGGGGAAAAAAATACACGCAGGTATTTAAAAAATATACTGACTATGAAAAGTGGTTATGCATTTCATCCTCTTTAAGGGACATTCCAGTAGTGTTACCACTGGCATCCTTTCAAAAGGCATATTTTTGCCAGGTACTTGAGTGTTAGTAGTATGAAAAAGCCATGACGCTTTATTTGGATGTAGAAATTCACGTCCAAGAACGTGACATTTTGATGGAGAGATGACGTATGCATGCTGTAGTCTGGTTTTATTCAAATGCCATTAAGAATAAGTTACCAACGGCTGGTGCCATTGTTTGATATAAAGCAAAAGAAAAAATAGTAAGTAGGAAAAACTAAATTAATTATTGTATACTTCTATTACACAGTTTCTGCCTATCTTTACTGAGACATGCCTCCTTCCTTCTTAGATGATGTATTTTCCTTGAAACATGTTTGGAGCTGACTCCTTTTAGTTTGTGGAGCCCATTTACCAAAGAATAATAAATAAGTCCTCTGTTTGACATATTACCACTGGTGGAAATTTGAGTTGCAGGACTTAACTGCTGGTAGATCAATTTTGATATTCCATCTCCCTTAACCTATTAGACAGTTTTCTGGAATGACATGAGTACCAGGAGAACGCGGCCTCTGTTAGTCTGTTAACATCGATGTCATTCTACACATTTAGTTTCACATTAGCCCCCAAAACACCCTCCATAGTGTCCTCCTGAAACCAGTGGGAAATATTACTTAAGTCTAAAATGTAATATTTTTAGAATTCCTCACTCTTTCAAAATGACGGAACTCCATTTGAACAAGGATTGCTTTCTTCCTGGTTAGAATTTCATGGTATGCTCCTTCAAGGCAAGGGATCAGTAAAATCTTATCCCAAAAAGAAGTCACAGTGCAGGATTTAGAACATCTACTCTCTTATCTCCATTTACCATGCTATGTACATGCATGTAGCTAATGTTGTGTGAAGAAAAGGAAGAGCAAAATCCTATCATAAAGGTTGAAATGCTTTTATGTTGATTGATTGCAAAAAACAAAAGGGCAGATGGTTTACAACTGAAACTTAAATAGAAGCAATAAATCTTCAGCCAAACACTGCATGCGGAAAAACAGGAGTGAGAGAATTATAGCAATCCTGGTTTCCTCATGAATATAAATGGCTGTTGTGTTAGGAAATAAAATCCTGGAGTTTAATGATATAAAGATAAGAAAAAGCAATCAATAAATATTGTACTGCTAATCAAAATTACAAATACTATAGCAGAAGTGTTAGTAATATTAATGGGAGGCTAATCCGTAACATTTATATGAAACTTCTTTTATACATCTAGACTAGTTTAGATGTATAACAATTCGCCAACACAGCACAGAAAATTTGCTCATATTCCATTTAAAATTTTGTTACAGTTCAATCAAAATATACCATTCCTAGTTTTAACATATTGCACCTTTTCATCTCCACGCCACCTCCATCACCAGTCCTTAGTATGTTTTACTGGGTGTGTGCAAAAACACAGCAATGTGCTACTGGAAGAGAGTAGAAATTGTCCTAATGATTTGGAAGAATAAAATGTTCACATGCTATACACACTGTCAAAAATGGCTTGAAACCCTATATTCTGCTACTTACTTGATAGCTATTTAGAGATGTTCACTTGTTTGATGGAATAGAGCAGGCATAGGCAATCTTCGGCATTCCAGAAGTTTTGGACTACACCTCCCATGATGCTTTGCCAGCATTATGGATGTGAGAGCATTATGGGGGATTTAGTCCACAACATCTGGAGTGCCAAAGGTTTCCCATCCCTGTAATAGAACATTGTGGTAAATCTCTTCCATATTTGGGCTTGTCTCTCTCAACACTTTCATCAGGACTGCAGATTAAAGGGCTAGGTGACAAGGAGGTCTACTTCAGAATTATGCCACTTACAGCAGTATAGCATTCTGTACAGAGCAGAAAGTTAACATTATTAATTATTATTTTATTATTTATATAGTGTCATCTGATTACATTTTTTTTATTTATTATTGCAATTTATAAAGCGCACACAGATTCCGCAGCGCTGTACAATTAGTTGAGAAACGTACAATATACACAAACAAATACAAGAGGTAAGAGAGGTACATAGCACTGTACAATGGGATGGACACGGACGGTCAGCAAATATACACAAATGAGTAATAAGTATTGTTTATTCAGTTGAGAGTCACAGTAGGAAGTAGACCTGTGCAATCAGTTTCAAACAAATTGCCTTTCATTCATGACGAGTTATCTGAATTTCAAAATTTCTATATGGCCAAATAAAGAAACAACCAAAACAAGCAAAGGAAGAGCTGAGTTGTTTGTTTTGTTATTTTGGAGTTAAGCAGGTCCCGCCAAAATAACAAAAAATTATGTTTAGGGTAGAGCCACTAAATCAAATAAAGAAAACGTGATATAAACCAGGGATCAGCCAGACCGAACGCTTAAAATATGCAACCAGATGCTCAAAAGCACCACTCATAATTCATATATTGAAGGAATATGGACCTAATTACAATGGTGAAATACTCTGTTTCAGTATAAGGGCTCAAAAATGAGTCTTATCACTGTACTGACTAATATATTTGCATAGCTCATATTGCACCCTTATGGTTCGTCCATATTGTTTTTCCGAAATGTTTGCATGACCAAAATTCAGACGAGCAGAAATGCAATGTCAAGCAAAATTCTGTCATTCGATTTTAAAAGAAATAAATAAAATTTCAGCCAAATTGATTCGGTTGAACCAAATTCTTCAGCCATGCACACGTCTAGTAAAAAGATGAAAAGTCCACAATATCTTCACCATCTCCTAGTGTGGTCATGGTTCTTCTGAATCTTCATGAATTGTAGTCCAACAGCAGCTGGAATGCCATGGGTAGACACCTCTGACCATTGGAGCTCATGAGAAAGGTCATTATCCTTGCTTGTTTTCTCTTAACACAGCAGTTTTGGCAGGGAAGTGTCATTACACTATGTTTTGGAAGGATATATTTGTGGTTGCCTAGAGACATAGTCACAGTCTTATTAATATTATCATTTATTTATAGAGCGTAGACATGTTGGGCAGAACTCTACTAAGGGAAACAGAAAAATATTAAACTTCAGGAACATATTTAACAACTTGTGGATTTTCTAGCCCTGACTCTCTAGATAATTAAGCTGGCAGGGCTCCTGATGGATAAATATTTGAGCCAAGATCAAACAAGTTGCGGTGCTCAACCTTTCAGAACCCCAGGGCTGAGCAGAACTACATGTAGCATAGAAAGTGTTAAACATTCCTTATTTCCATCCACAGAAGTGATTGCCCAGGGGGGTATCTGCACAGAATTGCTGTTTTTCTGTCCTTAATGAAGCTTAATTACTGTTGCTCTCCATAGGGAGCGTTTAAAGCTGCCTGATTATCAACCCTGTAAGCTAGGGGACTGTCATTTCCCAAGTAAAATAAACACTTCACAAACTTCTCTGGTTCAAACCCCTGTTGCTGATAGATTCCAGTGTTTTATAAGACTCCTCACCTAGGGTGTATGCAAATCTGTTCCAATTAGCTACTTAACCAAGGCAGTTAGCAATTGTTAGTCATTAAATCTTGGTCTGCATGTGAAACTAAAGTATGGTTCTACTTTTCTAAGTAAAAAAAAAAAAGGAAATTGAAGGCATACTCAGAACACGCATTTCTGAGAAGTAGTGCTGTCATAAAGACCAAAATTTATACAAAATGCAGATTAAGGAACATCATGCACACACAAAAAATAAAGCTTTACATTTTACAAGCCTACTAAAAATCACCCATTTTAGTAAACATATATTCTGTTCCAGCATATGGCCATATTATCTCAACCCCACCACTATGCCAGTAGTGGTGGGTCCTACAACATCTTTAACGTGGGAGATAAACATGCTAACTGCAATACCTATTGTTTAACGACTTCCAGAGAGTCTCCTCAAATTTATGCTTTACTGTGGTGCCTTCCAAAGGGGCATCTGTGGTGAAGGGGTGGGGTGGTAAACCCAAGAGGAATCTGGTTTGGATTCCAAATATACACAGAAAAAAATTATATTGAGGGCTCACCTAGAACATGCATTTCTCATAAGTGGTACTGCCTTTAGCTGAATTTATACAAAATATAGGCTAATAAACAGCGCCCACAAATTTTTTTTAAAAAAACAGTTTTCAATTTTACAAGGCTTAAAAAAATAAAATAAAAAAAACCCACATATCTTAGCAAACAAACAAGGGGATTTATTTCCAACATATGGTCACCCCATTGTACAGTGCTACAGCATTTTGCTGGCGCTACATAAATAATAAGATAATAATAATATGTATATGGTGGAACTGAATCACCATGTTTGTTTGCCAAGATAGGTGATTTTAAGTAGCCTTGTAAAATGTAAAGCTATTTTTTTTATGTGTGGGTGCTGTTTCTTAATCTATTTTTCTATCTAGAATCATAACAGGGCTCTAAAAAAGTGGAGAACAGGAGGTGGCCATAAGGTAGAATCTCAGCTGTTGCAGAACTACAACCACTAAAAATGGTTTGAGACTGGAAAAGCATCTGAGGAGTGTAGTTTTACAACAGTTAGACAGGTATCTCTTGGCCATCCCAGGTGACTGTCGGCTTTATTGGCACAGGTGTAGGCATAATATACTTTAACTTATATGCAGACACGACCTTGAATGAGACTCCTGGGGTTTCTTTCTTAAAAAGTATACCTCAGCTTTGTGGGGGTCTTTTTTTTTTGTTAAGAAAGTACTAAGCCAAGATAATTTAGGTATATAAAGTACGAAAAACAAAGATATAAAGTCTCCCCGATTCAACATTTACAAGAGTGAGGTCTGGTAGGTTAAAGAGAAATCAGAACAGGCCAGGGCGTCACCCATGCCCCCATATCCATTATAGAATCAGGGAGCAGTATAAGAAAATAAGAAAAAGATTAACAAAGAAAAAAAAAGGCTGTAATAAACCCTATAGATGTAATTTTTCCACCCTGTTCCCCATGAACAGAGGGTGTAGAATGAAGATAGGGGCAATTTGACAACCCATCAGTTTATCTTAGACCTTTAAGAACAGATTTTGTAACCCATTTTTTTAATCATTACCTATTTAGTGCGAGAGTTAAACTCTAGTAGGTGTCCATAAATTTTACATTACTGTGTGCTTGATTGTCTTGTAGTTACCTTTATCATAGACTTTTAGTGTATTGCAATGCTTTTAGCAGGACCACTGAGGTTTCTTCTCTAAACTGGGAATTGGTAAACTAAATTAGATGGAAAAACAAGTCAAACGTGTGAATATTTACAATTTGGGTATGTTGATGTATAATATGCCATTCCTTTGTCAATTCCGATATTTTTTCCTATTGAAAGTGCCTTGGTGTTGAGTCAATGCTGAAAAGATTAGGGTCATTAAATAGGGTCATACCACCTCTCATCATGTCCCTGCATCATACAGATTGAGTCAGAGTCAGAAAGTAGAATACTGGGACCACGTTTTGAAAGTGGAGAAATCACCACAGAAATTAATGAATTGGACTGGAATTGCTCTACTTTTCCATATTTGTCAGCTTCAGTATGCTGCCAGGATGGAAGAGTGAGAGGACAGGAGGATTACCGGTGTCATATTGGCATGCATTCTTCCAACAAGGGCAGAAATGCCCTGGACTTGTTTCTGACTTTGGCCACAGATAAGTTTTTGTAGTGTCTGCAGAAGTGGGACACCAGAAACGTAACACAGGGTGGAACAGGGAGCCCAAGGTTAGAACTATCTCATTGATTTCAGTACCAGTACTGTTGGCAGGCATGATATTCTTTTTAAAGTGTTGTTTGCCATAGATGTAATATAGAATGTCTGTCTGCCCTTATATATGTAACAAGCCATAACTTCACCTCCATCCTCCTTTCTCATTGTTATTACAATATTAAAAATTATGTATTTTATTTATTCCAATCTCTGTCTCTGTTTATCATCATGCACTCCAAAAGGAAACCGCTCCACAAAGAAGAAAATGGAACAACCAGGGCTGAATATGCAATGACCCTCGAAACTGCCTAAGATGCAGGACTTTAGCAGCGTGGTCACCAAATCCTTGATGTAAACCCTTCAAAACATAAGAGGCATTGAACTTTTGTTTTTTGGGGAAAAAAAAACAGAGAGAAAAAGGGCCTGTCTTTCCCCACAAATAAAGAGCAGTATACGCAGGGGACCTCACTTGGAAATTTGAGTACACACCGGTTTGATTCCCGAAGGAGGAGATCGCCTGAGTTAGGGCCTAAGACTTCCTGGTTATAAAGTACAGCCAGCTAGACTGGCAACCAGAGCTTGTAAGAAAGAGCATGCATCTGCTGAGAGAATAGCAGCTCCGATCACTGACTTGCCCGCCAAGCACATGGGAGGACCGTGTGCTTACTGGGTCTCATGTGGAGAAGGTGGATGAGATCGTTTGCAGAGACCCATGATCTGCAAACCTCCTGTGTACTAGGGAATAACAAATTTCCTGCATGTGCAGTGTTTCCATACCCAAGACAGACACTTTGTATTATTATAATTCTGATTATTATTAATGATGAGGGTGGGTACTGTGTTATAAAATTGGAGGAACCCCACAAACAATGCATGCACTCAATATATGAATTTACCCAGGATATACAGCTGAGGTATCATTTCTATGCAATACCCAATGGCTGAAGACTTTTGGAAGCAAACAGACAAAAAGAGATGGGTTTAAAGAACATGGTAGTGCGCTTAACCCATTCATTGCCGGAACTGACATGTTTGCATCGCCTGCCAGTGTATTGTTGGCTTTTCTCGGCAGTTAATGGTTTAACCCTGTGAAAGCCATAGGGTAGTGCAAGGCGGCGCTTTGCAAACCCCTGTGGCACATAAATTCAGAAGAGGTTTTAAGGTGCTCTAAGAACAAAACTCTTTTTATACGGACTATTTTATTTATCAGCATAATAAGAAAAATAAAAAATTTAAATGGAAATGCTATACTCCCTATACATGTATGTTACAATCACTCATACAGTGAGCTTGTAGGTTTTCATTTAGTGCAATATACCAGTCTCTTATCTCCAAAATTGCACATTTTACTTCTGTGCTCTGTCTATCATTCAGGATATGGGTCGAAATCTCTTCACCATTGTCAGATTATATCGCACTTGTTTACTGTAATTTTATTATCATTATTCAAGTGTTATCTTATTGGTTATACACTATATGAAAACAGTGGGTAATTACTGTTACTAGTATATACGTGAAATCGAACCTATTTGTGGTTACAGCTGTAAATTAACCTTCTTTACAAAGTTACTAACAAAACTAGGTTCAGATAATTAAATACTTCTCCTGACCAAGTGCCCACTGAAAGTCTACTTTAACATAAACAGGACTTTACGGTGCTTTAATATTCAATGTAAACATAAGTGGTACTGGTACCAGATTGTGATGTTGGCAAACATCATGTGGTCTCTTATTAATATTTGAGACTCAATCCAAGGAGATCAAGTCTGACCCAGAGCATTATGGCTACATAACATGCCATTCAGTATTGACTTCATAGATATGCAGCAATATTTACAATATTATTTTATTTGGCGGCAATTTTTTTTTTTTAAGATTAATGACTGTTGAAACGTTGCATAAAAACGGGTAATTTGACAGGTTACAATTAAAAGTCACAATTTAGAAAAAGTTGAACTTCAAATGTTATTATTCAAATGGATTTACAACTTTTTGCTTTGTTAGAGGAGCTTGTAAACAAAGAGTAAAATGCATGATCTATATATTTCTATATTACATTACACTAGAATGATTACATCATTGGATGAGAATAATTTAATCCCTTAATGGCCAGTGACATTTAATGCTGTCATCACAGTTTAAACCTTATGTCGGTATAGAACGTCCTGTTTATTTAACCTTAGCAGCTGTGTACAGACCTGCCACCTTCAATGAGGAAGGGCATTCTATATCATAAAGGGTCCTATGTTATGGTTCTTAGGTGGTTAAGGATTAGTAGAATTAATGACACAATAGGGTCAAAGAAAACCATTGGACTGCTTAGTAATTTCTGTTTTTTTTGTCCCCCTTTTCTCTCTAAAAGGGTGTATTTATGAAATATGATATAATATATCTGTCATTTATACACAAAGAAAATACTATTTCAGGGCAAATCAATCAATGTGAAATGAAATCATCTCTGTTAATATTGATGCAGTAACCGTAGAGTCTTCAGCCTATTTCAGGAAGTCTTTGTTGGCTCTGCAGTACTGAATGAGTTAATATCCATGTCCTGTTGAATCATTATTGTAACAGTTTACAAACAGGATCAGCAGCTGTACATATCCTTTAGAGCACTTGTATATTCATATTATGTTGTGCTAAATGCCTGCCTTCACAATTATATTCCTAAAATTACTACTTTTTTTGTGAAAATATGAACGTATAATAAATTTAATAATACAATATATAATATTGGAAAAAACCTTTGTAGCATTTTTTTATTTCTCAGCATTTTTTTCTTATTTTGAACTCAATACTCACTAAATGGTTTCTATGAAATTCACTTTGGCCACAAATAGGCAGATATGTATAGGATTCTTTGATTTGGGGAAATGCATTTGAAGAAGTTTAATTTTTATTGACAAGCAGAATTTTAGAGGACTAACTTTTAGAAGAAAGAAGATGTAATGAAGAAAATATGTTTAAAAGGGTGTTAAGAAAGGAATATGGTAGGTCATTTTTAACACGGTCTGGCTCTTTTTAGGACAGATGTCACCGGGTCGTAACCCAACTTACAGGGACTGCGAATTCCACAAACATAGGTGCAAAATAGACATATTACCGGGCCTTAGAATGGCTGGACTTAACATTAATAAAGATACAGACAAAGTCAGTAATAGCTATGGTCAGGATTATAGAAATACAGAATATGAATAAACAGGTAATGTCAAAATTCCAGAAATACACAAAGTCAAATACAAGCCATGGTCAATATGAAAGTATGAAGACATATAAGCACTAAAACGTTTGTTAAGGCAGAAACCATGATAGGGCACTAAATAAGCATTATATAGGATTACATATGTTCTCATTGGTCCACACCATGTCTGCGACTCCAAAGTGATTGATAATGAGGTCGTCTGGATGACTTGGTCACTTTAAGTGGGGCCGTGACGTCACTACATTTGAACGAATAAAAGACGCACCATTCAAGCGAGCAGCGTCTTGAACTATGCAGGGAAGCAACTTATGTGTGTATATTGACCCTCGTGAACCAGGAGGAGGAGTTGTTCGCCGTGCTGAATGGTAGGTATAAAGGTTATTCCCTATTCAGGCCAGGTGTCGCGCGACAAAGGGAGCAGCGCGGGCACGTGGCTTAGAAACGTTTGCTACAATAGGTTTGCCAATGTAGCAACTCAAATCCTATGCTCAATGCATCAAATAATAGGTTTGTGTGGTCAGTAAGCACACTTTAGACAGGATTTAAACAAGACCCTTGCACACAAAACATGCTCCTGTACGCCCGAGATTCAACTGTGTCTCTTCAAATCCTAGCCCTACTATTCTGCCAGTGTTGACAATTAACTTAATTTCTAATTCTCAAGTTATTCAACTGTAGTTCTTGCAATTTTCAAATATCACATACAATTACACACTAACAAGATTAATGAATTTTAAAATAATTTTTTTCAAATATAAATAAGCAAACTGGGGCGTGTGAAGGGTTTTTTATTAGGGTTGAAAAGAAAATACAATTATTTACTAAAGAAAAATACAGCCAGAGACACCCACCTTGCCTACCTGATTTATGCGGCTGCAGATATTTGTGTCCTCAACTTTATTATATGTAAATTAGTTCTAGTTTGAGTTATTTACATTATCATACCACCGTTTACCAGGCTCAGTAGGCTTACAAAGAAACCCTAGTTCAGCTTAACCCGGTCCCCCTACCTAGAGCACGCAAAAGCACCTCTTTTAAAGGACCACTATAGGCACCCAGACCACTTCAGCTTAATGAAGTGGTCTGGGTGCCAGGTCCAGCTAGGGTTAGCCCTTTTTTTTATAAACATAGCAGTTTCAGAGAAACTGCTATGTTTATAAATAGGTTAATCCAGCCTCTAAAGCCTCTAGTGGCTGTCTCATTGACAGCCGCTAGAGGCGTTTGCATGCTTCTCACTGTGAAAATCACAGTGAGAAGACACAAGCGTCCATAGGAAAGCATTATGAATGCTTTCCTATGAGACTGGCTGAATGAGCGTGCAGCTCCTGCCGGGCATTCAGCCGAAGAGGAGGAGGAGAGCTTCCCGCCCGGCGCTGGAGAAAGAGGTAAGTTTAACCCCTTCCTCCACCTAGAGCCCGGCGGGAGGGGGACCCTGAGTATGTTTTCCTGGCACTATAGTGGTCCTTTAATTACCACAGCAAGCCAACGCACGCTCAGCCCACAACAATGACCTTCCACGTAGGCACATATTCCTCCCAGCACCATCACAAAGCCATTGAAGGCTTAATAGCTTATATAATACCACAAAAGCGCCTTACTTGAGCCGATGTTTAATGGCGAAGTCCTAATAAGCCACAAGGCGCATAATGCCCAACACCCGCATCCCCCCACATACACATTTCTCAAGACATGTTGTCGGAGAGCCTGGATACCTTAGCTAACAAAAAATACAAAATAGAGTTTGTTCAGTTATGTGAAGTATGTCAAGCTACTGTAACATACACTGCTCAAAAAAATAAAGGGAACACTTAAACAACACAATGTAACTCCAAGTCAATCACACTTCTGTGAAATCAAATTCTCCACTTAGGAAGCAACACTGAGTGACAATCAATTTCACATGCTGTTGTGCAAATGGGATAGACAACAGGTGGAAATTATAGGCAATTAGCAAGACACCCCCAATACAGGAGTGGTTCTGCAGGTGGTGACCACAGACCACTTCTCAGTTCCTATGCTTCCTGGCTGATGTTTTGGTCACTTTTGAATGCTGGCGGTGCTTCCACTCTAGTGGTAGCAAAAGACTGAGTCTACATCCCACACAAGTGGCTCAGGTAGTGCAGCTCATCCACGATGGCACATCAATGTGAGCTGTGGCAAGAAGGTTTGCTGTGTCTGTCAGCGTAGTGTCCAGAGCATGGAGGCGCTACCAGAAGACAGGCCAGTACATCAGGAGACGTGGAGGAGGGCAACAACCCAGCAGCAGGACCGCTACCTCCGCCTTTGTGCAAGGAGGAACAGGAGGAGCACTGCCAGAGCCCTGCAAAATGACCTCCAGCAGGCCACAAATGTGCATGTGTCTGCTCAAACGGTCAGAAACAGACTCCATGAGGGCCCAACGTCCACAGGTGCAACACCGTGCAGGACGTTTGGCATTTGCCAGAGAACACCAAGATTGGGAAAATTCGCCACTGGCGCCCTGTGCTCTTCACAGATGAAAGCAGGTTCACACTGAGCACATGTGACAGACGTGACAGAGTCTGGAGACACCGTGGAGAATGTTCTGCTGCCTGCAACATCCTCCAGCATGACCGGTTTGGCAGTGGGTCAGTAACGGTGTGGGGTGGCATTTCTTTGGGGGGCCGCACAGCCCTCCATGTGCTCGCCAGAAGAAGCCTGACTGCCAATAGGTACCGAGATGAGATCCTCAGACCCCTTGTGAGACCATATGCTGGTGCGGTTGGCCCTGAGTAATGCAAGACAATGCTAGACCTCATGTGGGTGGAGTGTGTCAGCAGTTCCTGCAAGACAAAGGCATTGATGCTATGGACTGGCCCGCCCGTTCCCCAGACCTGAATCCAATTGAGCACATCTGGGACATCATGTCTCGCTCCATCCACCAACGTCACGTTGCACCACAGACTGCCCAGGAGCTGGAAGATGCTTTAGTCCAGGTCTGGGAGGAGATCCCTCAAAAGAACATCGCCACCACATCAGGAGCATGCACAGGCATTGTTGGGAGGTCATACAGGCACGTGGAGGCCACACACACTACTGAGCCTCATTTTGACTTGTTTTAAGGACATTACATCAAAGTTGGATCAGCCTGTAGTGTGTTTTTCCACTTTAATTTTGTGAAAATCTAGACCCCCATGGGTTGAAAAATTTGATTTCCATTTTTTACATTTTGTGTGATTTTGCTGTCAGTGTCACGAACACACACTACTCCAAGAGTGCGCGTGATGTAGTTGTGGTTGTGAAAGGGTTAAAGTTCACTATTTGTCTGCACTAGACCGGAAATAATGACAAAATCCCCCTTTAACACCACCCACACTTAAACATAATAATATAACTATTACTATTTTAACGCTGCCACCACCAAGACAATTTATAAATGGGGTGCCTTGGTCCCCCAGGTAAATCAGTAATAAAACCCACCAAATATTACTTAGCACAATATTTAAGGAATTATAAAAATACTAACTTGTCTCTTCAGGTAACGTGATTCTTAACCAGACAAAGGCAGAACTTAATAAATGAATGTTTATTATGAGCAAAAATGAATCACAGTGCATATAAAAATATATGATAAACAAATTATTTACACCAACAACAGGTAAAAACAAAAAGGATAAAAAACAGAACTCACTTAGGTTTTCAAAGTACAACTTCTGTCCAGGGAGTCTCTGGCAAGGAAAGATGGTGACTCACTCAAAATTAGATCTTGGCCCCAAGCAAGTACACAAACACCCTTCAGAATCACAGGAGATATACCCTATGAATTGCCACGCCTCATCCAGGGGTGGAGCAATAGGGATACTAAGTGACCACCTCCTTTGTTCCAGAAACCAACAAGCCACATACAGACTTTTGGTTTTATCTCCTCTACTGTACTTGCCACAGAAATAATAATTGCCTCTATGAATTTGTTATTGTTTTCCCATTCCAAAGACATGTTGCACGCCCCGCCCATGATCCAATAGGATGGACATCACAAGTCCTGCCACACGGTTTAAGTTGTGCAACTCATGTTTGGGCTTAATTAAAAGATTGGGCTTGTCCCATTCCAAATATAATAAAAATGAGGCTTGATTATTAACCTGTGGGTAAGTATGAATGTTTCACTTGGATAAGATACTGGAATGCAAGGATCTTCATGAAACGAATCCCATTACCATTTCAAATGATTGAACTATCCTTTACAAGGTACATGCCAAATGGATGAAGAGACATTCAGACTTTTCCAAGTGTAGAACCTCACACCTTGCAGATACTTGATTACTTCACATCCATATATTAAAATCATTTTCACATTGCTATTCCATTCACACTACCCCTTCTGTCATCTGACCTCTGTGGGGGTCCCAGCTTCAAAAGATGTAACCCCTGTTGACCTCAGCAATAGCATCTCTGTAATTTGTGCTATTTACTACACAAATTACATTAAAAGATGATATTCCATAGTGTAAATTAATTAAATTATACACCCTTGCCGTGACAGTCAGCACATTCAACTATGTAAAGAACAAAGTATTTCAGAAGAATATTTAATTCATTCAGATCTAGGATGTGTTATTTTTGTGTTCCCTTTATTTTTTGAGCAGTGTATAAATTCATATGCACTTTGCGTACTATGTTGTTATTCATGTAATGACTCTCAAAAATAAAGAATGTAAAAAGAAAAATACAGTCTCTATTAAAGGAGAAACCGATATTGTAATTAGAGACCTATATGGGAATAATCCAACAAGTTTTAAAGAAAAGAGAAAAAAAAACAGGTATAGATAAAAGTCCTTAGCTTCATTTAAAATAAAAATAAATGTGCGTAAACTTTATTGAAAGATTTATTGACCAGAAATTTCAAAAGCAAATCCAAGTGTACTGTTTTGGGACTATTGAACTCAAAACACATTTAAAAAAAAATAGTTTTCTTATCTAAGTAAATAATCTATGTTTTTTTCCTATAGCGAAAACAAAATAAACTACAATGAACAATAAGAATACAACAAAAATGATTATAAAAACAGAATAAACCCAATTAAATTTGCATTTCTTATTGAGAACAGCTGGACTGCAATTCTGTAAATGGGTTATTTAACAACAACAACAACAACAGCAGCGAACCAGGATTGCAGAGATCTGAATTTCAAATTTTAGAACAAAACTGAAACCCTATAAAAATAGTTGAGTGGGGGGAAATGTTCTATTTCAGCTTTTTACCCTAAAATTCATATTTCTCTTGCCAATTCTCCACAATTCACATTTTGGCAAAATACCCCACAAAGGAGATTTGCTGGCATCCAAAAGGGTGAACTTCTCTTCATATCACTGTGATCCTTAATCGTATACATTGAATAAAATCTAATTTATTTAAAAGAGATATCAATAATTGGTTGAATTGATGCAACAGAGTTTTGCCTAGTGGTCTCCCACAGTACACCACTGACCCAGGAACACTGAAGATACGAAAATCACAGGTAACGGTGACGGTGGCAAAGGCCAAGAAAAATTAAGTGGACAATGATTATCATTGTCTTGTTGATATCAGTGTCACTCCTGAGAAAAGATGCTGAGATCTTATCAAGTTCAAATGAAAAAAATATACATACATATATATATAGATAGATAGATAAATAGATAGATATACACACACACACACACTGTGATTATACGGCACTGGCATCTCTTATCAAAGGTGTAACAGTTTAGGCAACACTATCATCCGTGGGTTTCTTTTTACATTACCTGTACCACTAAATGCGAGGACTCATGTTTGGTGGCATATACAGGATATAGTGAGCTGATATTTGGTTACTATATGAACTTCTATCCATCCAGTCCTCTGGCAATACTCTTATTGATAATTACCCTTTAGAGAACAATGAATAGCCATATCTTGTGAGACCTCAAGGAAGAGACAATCCAGCTTCTTTCTTGGCAACTCAAAAGAACTCAGACTCTGTTTGTTGTATAAAGATCCAGCTTACAAAGATCTCAGCTTATAGTAAAATAAAAAAATTGCACAAAGATTTTCACCAATGGGAATATAGAACAGGGCAAATAGAACACACAGGAAAAGAACTGGCTACAAAGTGATTCCTTACATTCCACCCCATACATTTTTTTTCTTTTCTTAAGTTTAAAGGGCAATCCAGACGTGGACCCCTTGCTCACGGTGCATAGAGGGATATTGGCTATACCTCACTGATGATACCTTACAACGATAAGTCTGGGGTTGCCGTATCTCTCGTGCAGAGGGAACTTGCTGGCATTTTGGATCTGTACTACCTGTATGAGTGGGAGCAGTCTGATATGCTTCAGATATGTTCTCTCTGTAATGGCACAAGTTCAGCTAAAACCAGCTTGAGATTTGAGCAGGGACCCACGGAAGAGCTGGCTAATTGAGCTGATGTCTGTTCTCACCTCTCTTGCTACTTATTCCCCTACATACAAGTACACCTTGACAACAAAAGGTTATATTGATTGGACCCCACTGTCCCTTCAGAGCAATCTCTGGTTACATCATTTGCTGTATTAGATAATATGTAGACTTGCTGGCTCCCACAGCAGGTGGTCACTCACAGTACAGTATTTAACTTGATTAAAGGACCACTCCACACCTCAAAAGCACTTCAGCTTTTTTTACCCTCTGTTGACTCACGGCTGCCTATACAGACACACACACACACACTGCTCTGTGTATAATACAGGTACACATAATACAGATATGACTAGAAACAAACCAAGAGTCGCAAAAATGCCACTACAAAATTGTGGCTTACGCAAACCAAATCAGGGGGATCACAAACACATTTTTGAACTGAATGGGCTCTTAACTCAGCAGACATTATATTGTAGTGTGTACGTTTGAAAATGCATTATATAGTTATATTATGTGGTTTATACATTTGGTAATATATTATAAAGCAATATTTATGCGGTGTGTACTTCAGAATAATTAAATAAACTGTGCTTTTCTGTCTATTTTCTTGGCTCAATGACAACAATGTATATACGTATATTTACATATATCCTCAGCTGTTGATAATTATATATGGTTATCAGGAATCTATAGTAATTGTACAACTTGAAGTGATAAATATATACACTTTGCTAAAATCTCTGATAGTAAGCGGTGTGTGTGCATATATATGTGTTACTATGATCACAATGCAGCTAGATAATGATATTTACTGCATAATGTAATATTAATTACAGTATTACAATGATTAGGGGGTACAATGTTTAAGCTATAAGAACACATATTTGCTGCATTAAAGAGTTATATTTAGAGCAATTATTTCACTATGACTGTGTGTTGTTTTCTCTTACTATGTTAAATTTGTTATATAGTTTCCAGGCTCATATACAGTGTATGTGTCTCTCTCCTCATATAGTGTTATTATTTTGTATCCGTGTCTAGGCAGCAACCAAAAACATACCGTATGTAAACCAAAAAATAAAGCTTTTGACCAATATTTATTCCTCCAGTGTACGAAACAAGAACTTCCTGACAGATGAGCAGAGGATGTTATCATGTTGAGGTTTATGTATCTTAATAAAGTTGTGGACAACATTATGGGCAAAGTTTCATCAAAAGGACAATGAATCCTTGGTGGATAGGGAATAATTTATATTAAATTAATATTGGCCAGTCTACATCACACAATGATCAATGATGAACTGGTTCTATTTTTCACAATTCTCTATTACCCTTTGATCCACTCCCATCTCCTCTGTCAGCCCTCATTTTACCTGCTATTGGGGTTATCGCTGTAATTGAACTGTACTCTTTGATTGGCTGTCTCATATTAACTTGTGATTAATGCAGCTAATTATAGTTCTATGCAGAGTGTTTATAATATGTAAAACGGGAATATTCTAATGACACGAGATGAGATATAACTGATATAACTACGTGCTGGATCATACAGTAATCCTGATATTACGACATGGCCATAGATCCTGTAGAACTGTGTCAGCACATAGCTGCTTGCGAGAGGAAATTAGAGGAGAATGATCACCGCATGGATCAATTCACTCAGGCTTTCAGTACGCTTCTCGCTAGAACATCTGCAGCGTCTCCTCCTATAGCACCTCAAACCTGTGTACCTCCACCCACTGTTAATAGGACACCCAGCATCTCCTTTTGGCCATCCCTACATTTTGATGGCAATATCCAGGAATGCAGGGGATTTCTTAATCAGGTGGAGTACCATTTTGAGGCCTCACCAGGGTTGTTCCCCACGGACAGAGCAAAAATTGGTTATCTAATGAATCAATTAAAGGGCAAGGCCCTTGCCTGGGCTAATCCGTTATGGGAGAGTAATCAGAGCATTGTTCACAATTACCAGGAATTCCTTGCTGAATTCAAGCTCACGTTTGAGCCATTGGGTAGAGAGGATGACGCCTCCACTGCCCTAATGCACATCAGACAAGGTAACCGGTCTATCTCGGATTATGCTATTGAATTCCGTACCTTAGCTTCCGAGGTAGACTGGACTAACAATGGGTTAATCTCAGCATTCAAAAAGGGTCTCTCTGAGACTATACAAGATGAGATAGCCGCTAAAGAATTACCAAAGAGTCTTAACGAATTTATTACATTTGTCATGCATATTGATAATTGGTTAGAGATAATAGGTTAGATAATAGGTTAAATTCTTAACGAATTTATTACATTTGTCATGCATATTGCTAATAGGTTAAGACTCAGAGAAGTCACCAAAAGCAAGACCAGATGTATGGCTATGTCCCTAGCACCCAGATTCTCTAAACTTCTTTTGTCTAACCTCCCTGTACAGTCCGAACCCGAACCTATGCAGTTGGGGGTCACTAGACTGTCGGAGGCCGAAAGACAGTATAGGAGAAAGGAGGGGTTATGCCTATATTGCGGTAAAAAGGGACATATGATAACTGATTGCCCAGTGCGTCCGGAAAACTTCCGCACCTAAGAACCTTAAGGGGACAGGTGTGATGGAGTTGTCCTCTAACAAAAATAAAAGTAGATTCCTCCTTGAAGTATCTATTTCCCTTGATAACAAGACGTTTTCTTGCAGTGCCCTAATGGACTCAGGTGCTGCTGGAAATTTTATTGATGTCCAGTTTATTAGGGGTAATGAGATACCAGTCAGGGAGAGACCTACACCGCTAGCTGTAGAGGCTATTGATGGCAGACCACTCACACAACTGCTTATAACCCACGAAACTGTCCCTATTATGGTCTCTATTTGGGCCTCCCATAGGGAGGAGATGACGCTTCAGATTATTACTTCTCCATCATGTCCTATCATATTAGGGTTTCCGTGGCTGAGTAAGCACAATCCATGTATTGACTGGGCTAATGGGGAAATATTGGAATGGGGTAAGAAGTGTATGGGGAGATGTATAAAACCAGTAAAAAAGAGATTGGGTATTATTGACCTTCCCACTACCACTCCCCAAACTCCTGGAGTTCCCATACAATACCGAGAACTTCAGGAGGTGTTTAACAAGGCTCAATCTGATGTATTGCCTCCCCACAGAGCATATGACTGTGCCATTAACCTGTTTCCAGGCGCTATGCCTCCTAAGGGGGCAGTTTATGCTTTATCTCCCCAGGAGAGTAAAATAATGGAGGAATACATCAAAGAATCTTTGAGCAAAGGGAACATAAGAAAGTCATCCTCACCAGCTGGTGCAGGATTATTTTTTTGTTTCGAAAAAGGGTGGTGAGTTACACCCTTGCATAGACTACAGGGCACTTAAAATCACTGTAAAAAATGCATACCCTATCCCACTCATTTCCGAATTGTTCGATAGACTACAGAGGGCTAAAGTATTTACTTAGCTCGACCTTAAAGAAGAACGAGCTAGATACCCCTAGGGGAACCAACTGAGTGTGTATCTAGGGCGACCAAGACAGGGGATAACCCTTATGTATATAAATAAAGAAAAAAACAGACCTGGTAGGTCAGAAAAAGTAGGGCGCCCCCTAGTAGATTAACATATATATATATATATATATATATATATATATATATATATATATATATATATATATACACACATAAAACATAACCTTTAATAGTTACTGTATTAAAATGCTCATATTGATGATGAGAAAATGAGGATAACAAAAATAATTAAAATAGGTATAGATAGGTGAGATCGTTATTCCTGAGTGGGATATATAACCTAAAAGTATCACTTAAGAAGAACTAATATAATCTTGTAGGGAAAAAGGATCCCACTACAGTGCTCATACCGTTACTACAAAATAATGGTAACTTGTAATAATGCTACCATCTAGGATAATGATAAGTGGCTACTGACCCTCCCAGCAAACCCCCCCCTAGCAGTTGCTTAGAAAATCTTGTGGGGTAGAAAGTAGCAAGATAATGCTACATATCAGGGAGAGAAATAACATACACTCACAAAAAACATGAAGATCTGCTATTAAGTTACTAGATTTCGCAGCTAGTTCAGAGTCAGAGGTAAAATGAAACAATGTAAATTGTGCCTCTGCGGCTGTCAATGACGAAACCTCACTTAGCTGGGATGTGGACACAAGGTGGGGAGATCAGAATAAAGTCTCCCCCCAAAAAATGAAGGTAGCAGGTAGCTAGGTTGGATAGTTGTTCGTGCTCAAGCCGTTGCAGTTTTTGCTAATTAGTTAGCTAGACGTTATTGCTTTGACGACCTGATAGAGCTTTGTTCTGCTGGGGGTTGTGGATCATTAGGGGTATTTTTAATTTGTTTGGGGGAGACTTTATTTTGATCTCACCAGCTCGTGTCCACATCCCAGCTAAGTGAGGTTTCGTCATTGACAGCCGCAGAGGCACAATTTACATTGTATCATTTTACCTCTGACTCTGAACTAGCTGAGAAATCTAGTAACTTAATAGCAGATCTTCATGTTTTTTGTGAGTGTATGTTATTTCTCTCCCTGATATGTCACATTATCTTGCTACTTTCTACCCCACAAGATTTTCTAAGCAACTGCTGGGGGGGTTTTGCTGGGAGGGTCAGTAGCCACTTATCATTATCCTAGATGGTAGCATTATTACAAGTTACCATTATTTTGTAGTAACGGCATGAGCACTGTGGTGGGATCCTTTTTCCCTTCAAGATTATATTACTTCTTCTTAAGTGATACTTTTAGGTTATATATCCCACTCAGGAATAACGATCTCACCTATCTATACCTATTTTAATTATTTCTGTTATCCTCATTTTCTCATCACCAATATGAGCATTTTAATACAGTAACTATTAAAGGTTATGTTTTATGTTTATATCTATATATGGTAATCTACTAGGGGGCGTCCTACTTTTTCTGACCCACCAGGTCTGTTTTTTCTTTATTTAAGCTCGGCCTTAGGAGCGCTTACAATTTGGTTAGAATTAAAGAGAATCATGAGTGGAAGACGGCATTTAATACCCGTAGTGGACACTATGAGTATCTGGTAATGCCATTTGGGTTATGCAACGCCCTGGAAGTATTCCAAGACTTTATAAATTATGTACTCAGGGAATTCATTTACTTATTTATCTTGGTTTATTTGGATGATATTTTGGTGTATTCCCCTTATCTTCAAACTCACCACTCCCATGTGAAACAGGTTCTGTAGACGTTGTTGAAAAATAAACTTTATTGTTAATTAGAAAAGTGCATTTTTGACCAGCCTGAAGTCAACTTTTTGGGTTACAACATCTCTGCATCTGGGTTTCAAATGGATCCTAAAAACCTAGAGGCTGTACTACACTGGCCATTACCCTCTGGTTTAAAAGCCATTCAAAGGTTTATTGGTTTTACCAACTATTACAGAAGATTCATCAAGGGATTTTCTTCTGTAATAGCCCCATCACTAATATGACTCGCAAAGGGGTTAGTAGCATGGTAAGGTCCAAAGAGGCTGTGAATGCTTTTGAGACTCTTAAACAAAGATTTGCCTCTGCGGACATACTAAAACATCCCGACACCCGTAAACCTTTTATATTGGAGGTTGATGCATCCGAGACAGGGGTAGGGGCTGTTCTCTCTCAGAGAGAAAGCCAGGGAACACCATTGCATCCTTGTGGCTACTTCTCCAGAAAGCTGTCTCCTGCTGAGCGCAACTACGATATTGGCAATAGAGAACTGTTGGCCATTATTCTTGCCCTCAAGGAATGGCAACATCTTTTGGAGGGTTCCAAGGACCCCCTGTTGATCATAACCGACCACAAAAACCTGGCGTATATAGAGGATGCCAAACGTTTGTCTTCCAGACAGGCTAGATGGTCACCGTTCCTTTCACGTTTTAACTTCCTCATTACTTATAGACCTGGTTCTAAAAATACCAAGGCTGATGCCTTGTCCAGGCAATTTGATAATGATTCAGCTCCGGAACAGGAGACATCTCCTATTATTCCGCCAGCGTGTATTATTGCTACTACTGTCCTCTCACTGTCTTCTCCACTGCTTGGCACGATACTGCCTCAGGCGCCCAGTGGTAAACCGTGTGATAAACTGTTCGTTCCCCTATGTGAAAGGGTTAATATCATGAAAGTGTTCCATGACAATGTAACTGCTGGACACCCGGCATCAATAAGTCCATTGCCGCGATCACTAAATCATTTTAGTGGGATTCACTCAGGAAAGATGTAAAAGAGTATGTGCAGGCATGTTCCGTGTATGCAGTTTCTAAGGTGTCTCATGCACTTCCATGTGGCCTGTTGCAGCCTCTTCCTGTTCCTGAGATTCCATGGTCCCACTTGTCCATGGACTTTATTGTTGAGCTTCCTAGCTCTGCTGGGTTCACTACTATTCTCATGGTTGTAGACCCATTTTCTAAGATGGCTCACTTCATTCCTCTCAAGAAGTTGCCATCTTCGCAAGAATTGTTCCTAATTTTTATATGTATAATTGTCCGTTTGCATGGCATCCCTCACAATATTGTGTCTGATAGGGGCTCTCAGTTTGTGTCCAGGTTCTGGAGAGCGTTTAGTAAACAATTGGGGATTGATCTCTCCTTCTCCTCCTCCTACCATCCACAGACCAATGGTACAGCTGAGAGGGCTAACCAGTCATTAGAAGTTTATTTGCATTGTTTTGTTAATAGCACACAGGACAATTGGTCCGAACTACTCCCGTGGGCCGAGTTCACTAGAAACAATGCTGTTCATGACTCCTCTGGGCACAGTCCATTTTTTGTCAATAATGGTAGGCATCCTACGGTTCTTCCTGCGTTTTTTTCTGATACTGCCATTCCTGCACTGGATGAGCGTCATGCCTCCATTCGGGATACCTGGGTTAAGGTTCAAACTGCTCTGGGGGCTGCTGCTGAACGCTTCAAACATTTTGCTGATAAGCGTAGGAGTGCCAACCCGGTGTACCAAGTGGGTGACCAGGTTTGGTTGTCGTCTTGCAACATCAAGCTTAAGGTCCCTAGCATGTAGTTTGCCCCCAGATTCCTTGGTCCCTATAAAGTGCTTTGTAGGATCAATCCAGTGTCTTACTCTCTGGATCTTCCTGCATCTTTAGGGGTTCCCAACACTTTTCATGTGTCTTTACTTGAACCTCTTGTCTGCAATAAATATACTGTTCCTCGTGTTCCTCCCCCTCCAGTTGTTATGGGCAAATGCAAATATTACAAGTTTTAGAATGAAATGTTGTATTTCTTAAACTGTGTACTTTGTCTTTAAGAGATATTGCAAACTGACAAGGTGTTAGAAATGGAACATATTGTTTTTCATAACTGTTTCTTTAAGCAATAACCTCAGTGCATAATATGTTTGCGCCATTTTGTCCCAGACGAAATACAATAATGCATAAACAAGCTTCAAGGCTATGCTACGACTCTTTCAGTACACATTATACTGTGGTAACCTTAAGTAGATAAGGATGTCCAGACTTTAAGATGCCATCTTGAACTAAGTCAGGAAAATTTCCATGACGTATGCACCCTTTAGTTATGGCCTTGTATGTTTGCCAAGTTAAGGGAGGTCCTAAAATGAATAAAGTAAAAAAAGTATTTTTTTATATATGAACTACGGTAACCCTAAAATGGAGACACCTAAGGTATGAATAGGTGTACTTTTAAATGTTAAGACACAGAGGAGAGACTTGGAGACAGACGCTGCTCCATCTTAAAATGACAGAGAGGCTGACATGATGATATATTCAGAAGGGTATGTTAACCTATTAATGATATTTGCAAGCATGTAATTTAATCTTATAAACTCTGCTATAATGGATTTTATATTTATATTTTTATATAATAAATATCCAAAAGACAAAACTATTGCTTCCAAGACAATCCTTATTTTATATTGTATTCTCAATTATTTATATATGTTAAATAGAGGATCTCTTACACTATATAAAATTATGGCTAAGATATCTGTATGGTTAGCCCTACTAAGTTCTATGCTTTAAGACATTATAGTGGTAAATAAGGGAACCACCACGGTTACAATTGGCGACCACGAAGGGACTTTGTACTTGGAAGCTTTAAATATAAAATAAATACCTAGGTAACCTCTTATACGTAAGAGAAGACACAGTACTTTGTCATGGCACAAGTCTTGAAATATCAAGAATCTATTGAGCTATGTGTAGCCCAGACTCAGAGAGAGATCTTCATCATTAGAGATGATTTTAATGTGAACAAGGCACTGTGAGTTCAGGTGCCAGGTACAACGTAATTAGCATACAATGCTGAAATTGTGGGTCTTAACTAATATAATAATAGAACAAATATACATATTTGGTAAACTCCCTAAAATGCCTAATACACCAGCACAGCATGGCCCATTAGTTCCAGGACAGTGGATTGCAGGCAGAGGGATATATTCTCTTTGTAGCTGCTTAGTATGCATGCGCAGGAAAAAGATTAATGCAAAATGTTGTGAAAAGAAAAGTGATAAGACAGAGCGATGAAATTTGAAGTCTAATTCCAAGAATGCAAAGAAAATTGCATTATGGCTTAATGAAAACATTCATGCAACAGACAGACAGGATTTTTAATTATTGCATTACTGCGTTCTGGATTCTAATGTCCACTATTTAAGAAAAGTTTGTAAAACAGTGATATTTTCCACATTGTCAGTTATGCTAGCTGTTGATTAAAAATCAGGAATTATAACAGCATAACTATTTTTGGAGTCTGGAGTTTCCAGCCAAGGTTGCGGAGATACAGAGACATGTAAACATTCCAAGGAATTGAGAAGTCATTTTATATTCCAAATTATGAACAACATTATTACATACAAACATAAAGAGAAAGACATGGCTTTTAAATAAATTCAATGCAGTACACTGCAGCATGTATTTTATATAATATATGCTAACTAGCTCATATTTTTTCTTAAACAGAGTTGAAATTATACTACCCTCCTAGAAAAAGGGCAACAGGTGGTTATACATCCTTTGCTTCTCTAAATCCTCTGCTAAAATAAATATTTATAACATGATTAAAAATAATATATATGTAAGATAAATCAGGGCAAAATAAAATGGTAACTATACAGGATCTCTGATAGCTTTTAAACTGAAATTATTAAAGGCTTATTTAAATAAAATGTTAAATACATTTACAGCTTTAAATGTGACCAAAAGATACTAAATGATGTGTTAAGCAGCCAGCCCAATTCACTAGAATAGCATAAGTATTCTACTATTTAAAGTGCACAATTCCTGCACATAATGACTTTGCTTACTCAGGTACAGTATTTAGTTTATTGCAATGGCAGGATTAAAGTCCACCAATTTTAAAAGGGAAAGCTTACTTAAATCAGTGGTACTATCCCACCGTACTAGCAGTAAGGAAATTAGAACAATGATATTGTACTACTGAATGTAATCAGATCAGACACATGTAATCTCAGTGAATTTCATAAACTAGGTTTTCATAAAATAAGATTAAATATCAAAGTTGTTTATATATCAATATATCAATGTTGTTTATAAATAAAAGTATATAGCCTAGGCAATAAGAGCATTTACATGCATTCAGCAGCCTGCTCTCTCAGAGCCAGAAACGGATTTATAAAAAATAAAAAGTAAGTTTTAAAAAGTCCACAGTCAACCACACATGAAAGGTGAAATAATTGCTTCTTTAAAAGCTGTATGCTGCCGCAATTATGTATATAAATACAGATTAGGGCACAACATAGAAATAAAAATACAGTTTCAAATCTCATATATGAGGATTCAGTTCCACCACATATTCTACAATTCTTAAAGAGGCTAATTTTAATAATATGTTGTAAGAGCATTGTGAGTATATATACTGCAAAATTAATGTGATATCGCAAAGCCTGCAATATTCTAAACAGACATTAAAATTTAAGAAAAAAAGAAAAATAATAAATAAAAAAATAAATAAATAATAATGCATAAAAAAAATGCAGTGTCAATTAAAGTGATAATACTCTGATATATTAAAACACATTGCATATCACATATCTGCTATATGAAAAGTATAATTAAAGTGACATTACTGTCCAAAGCCCCCTCACATCTATTTTATAGAATCTATACTTTTCAGTGGTCACCTCCAAAGAAGCCTCTGAAACTGGGGGGCTCAGAGGGGTGTACATCCCAAAAGGAATCAGATTCCAGACTTAAAGAAATAAATGATAGAAAAGGGGAACACCCAGAACATGCATTTTTGTATATAATTTTAATTTGCAGATATTTTATGCCTTAAAGACATAATTAAATATTTAGACATAATTTAATTAAATATGCAGGTATCTTTAAAAATTAAGCAATGTTAAAAAATAAATAAAATAAATAATAATAATAAATATATATATTTTTACCACAATATAAACAGCTTTGTTAAACCGATTCAAGTACAAGTACTAATGTGAAGAAATATACAGAATACGTTTACAACAGGCAGGTTTAGCATAAATGCAAAGTTGTTGTTTTTTGGGGATTTATTATTGCCCAAGAAATCTCTGGACATTTTTGAGAGCAGCAAGTAAGACAGCAGATTGCAATGGACACCATTACAATATTGCTTTACCGATTGATGTCAGAGCTTTAAAGAATAAATAAATAAATGTTCTATAGCTCGCTAGACCACTGGCTTTTAATGAACAGTTTGCATGACACTTATAAAATAGTTTGTAATACTGCACATTATAGCTGTGACAACATAATATACAGGGTAAAAAGGCAATGTCACTGTTTAATAGACTTACCCAGTATTTAAGGACGACATGTTTCTTGCAAAGTAATCGGGACTTTGAGGGAGGTTCTAACTATGTTTAATTAATTAACTTACTAAAGAAAAAAAAAAAAGAAGAGGTTTTGTTTTTCCCCTGCAAGTGCGTTTTCAGCGCAAGGTCATTTTGTGTTCACAGACTATTCGGTTTTAAAAAGCTGTTCTTTATCTCACATTATGAATGGCCTTGTAATTCCTATGCACACTAAAAGTTGGCTTTTAAATGTTATTGTTTTAACTTTAGTATTTCATAGTTAATACAGAGAATAAAGTAATTTAAAGAAAATATAAAGAAAGTATATTAATTGATAGAATTTCATTTATCTATTTTGGTCCACTGTTCACTGATCTCGAGTCTCAGTCTGGTGTTCAAACAGTTTTTCTTACGATACGTCATGAGTTTATATCCACAACTGCATTTTGCTTTGTGGTAACAAATTGAAAGCCTGGCATTGTAATACGTGTATGGACATGCTTATAACAAAGCATGGTCCCTCTACTCATGTAGTTGGTCATTAACAGGCACTTTGATGCAATGTGTCTACCAACGCTTTTCTGTGGTCACTGGATCACATCGCATACCCTATCTCTCAGTCATGATGCAGAGTTTATGCTTGCAAGGATATCCAGACCTTATCCATCTGGTATCCGCGTAAATACTCCTATCGTTTAGAGGGGTTAATTACATAACCATTGGAGGTAATATGTTGGTTGTTCTTCTTATAGAGGAAAGATAGACTTGCCCTAAAAGCTTTTTCATGGCTAGGACAAGCTTTCATAGAGAGGTAATGTACTTCTGACTCCTGAAAAGGAATATTGGTGGTCCAATATGGGAAATACTGTAATTCATGTGTTTAGTAATCATAAGCATTTGCTTATTGCCACATTACTGATGTACTGTTTATTGAAATATTAATATCTAACATACTTTTTGAATTACTATATATTGGAAGTTTGCCATCATCTCATGGTTATAAATATGTTTTTGTATGTGTTGATGCATGTACCAGGTTTACTTGGATATATCCTGTGCGAAGTGCAACCTCTGATGCCACGTTTTCTAGTCTCACTTCCTTAGTATGCATTTGATAATCCCAGGACCATCCATTTGGATGGTGGTCCTGCACTTACTGCAAAGGAAACCTAAAACTGGGCAACCACATTTGGGTTACTTTGGGAATTCAGTGCACTCACCACCCCCTAAGTAGTAGGGTTGTGGTCTGGGAAAATGTTGAGGTTAAATGATTATTAACCAAGTTACTAGTTGCTTGCCCCACACAGTGGTATCTATTTATTCCTATGGTACAGATGAGCATTCACAACATCAATACCTGATGATACAAATGGTGAGACACCATATGAAATGTTACATGTTTTTCACTGACAAACATATTTCTGCACCAGGGAGAGCTTAGAACCATTGGTTCTATTAGAGAAATTTAGGGATTTTTTTTCCTCGCCTTGCACCACCACCTATTTCCTACTGTTGGCCAGCTTGTCCTGGAGAGGGTGACACCGAGAACTTTTACTACAGAGAACAATCAGAGCCAATAGAGAACAGTGAATTTGATATTTTACAACCTGCTAAAATACATCCAAGACGTTCACAGAACCACTGACTGACACAGTGAATGCTGTTAAAGATGACAAGATAAATCAAACAGAGGACGACAGAAATGCCACCAGACTCATAGCCACGTAACAGACTGAATCATGATCTGACATCTGAACCTGCAAATGTGAAGGAGAAGGATGAACAGACAGATGTTATACATTCACAGTTAACATGGAATGTATGAAAAATGAATCATTAACATCATTATAAGAAAGACTCTGGAGAAAACAGACTGAACCTGAATTATCTTATACAGTAAGAAAGAAATGCAAAGATGGAAGCAAAAGGATGCTAGAAAATTGGTTATGGTGTCTCCTTCTTACAATCTGCAGCATTATCATAACATCAACCCTAGCTGTCGTTTTAAAGCTGCATTGGGATTATGTTAACAAGCAGGAAGCACCTGAACTGAATTGGACTGCACACTATACAAGTTCTGTGATCGTGAGGACTACCTCCAAGAACCATTTCAAAAGGAGAGACACAGCTCACAGTGAAATGATTGCTAATGTGACACAACAAGGAATCTGTAATGATTCTGTTGCAGATGTGATCTACCAATGTACTCCTTGCTCTTTTGGTATAACTATACTCATCAAAACATTAAATGGCTTCATAGAATCAAACGACAAAGGATTCTTGCTATATTCTGGACTTCCAGGAATGTGGTGCATGGACAGAAAAATTATAATTACTAAAGCAATCATGCTATTTTTTCCCTGTATCAGAAATGTGTCAGTGACAATGTGTAATATAATACAGATACTATAATTAATGGTATAAGAAACACATAATGTGTTAATTACATAGGTGGATAGACTTTGTGAATATCTGAAACGCAATTGAAGATTATTGCTAAAATGCCATATGCAGCTGCAGTCTGGCCTACAAACAAATATGTTAAACATACGTATAAGAGCATACTAGCTGAGTACCCAGATAAATAATTGAATCATGATAGTTAAAGATCATATGATTACGATAACAACTGTAATAATGAATAATGTTTAAACTTTAGAAGAAAATGTAAAATGTTTTTATTAAATCAGAAACTATTCTATATTCGTTTAAGTTTGCAGAGTGGTATAATTAATTAATATAAGTGAAGCACTTCAACAGTTAAAATTTAACTGAAAGACAGGCAGAAACTTTACTTCAACTATCATAAAGTTTATTATAATGATAAAAATATTCAGTCTGCCAGAGCTAAGGCCAGTCAATGGAAAGTAAGAGTATTATGGATTAACCCGTCCAGGTGATATACATGATGATTTTGGAAATTGATAAGTTAGGTCACCTATTGCAAACTTGTGAAAATATGTCAAAGATATAAATTCAACATTCATATCACTCTATGTATATAAATTAAAATACACATAATCAAATATTTTATCGTTTTTTTCAAATACTAAAAAAATGTTATTTGGTTTGTGATGATTAAAGGTACATAAAACCACTTATACAAAGATAGAGTTAAAATATAAATACCTTCAATATTGTATCTGAGTGCTTTCTTAACTCACTTTTAGAAATAATAATAAAAATTCTATTTATCTTAAGCTACACCCAACAGCCGCTGGTAAATATACTTAAACAATTAAGATTCTCATTGTTAAGTATCCAATCTCACGAACGTAACTTTCCACAATGGCTGTCAGATCTATTGGTAAAAAAAAAAAATGTTTTCTAAGACAATATTTGGGGGTTTCTGGTATTTGAAGCCACTAATAACTGTAGTTATTATATTTACTAATAATAACTAGGGAATAAGTTGTCTTCTCCCTAACAGGTCAAAGAACGATAATTAACGTCATATTTCCAATTAGCAACTATTCTAAATAGATTGAGAGATTTTGAATAAAGGAGTATTTTTAACATTTAAAGAACAAAAGTGGTAAATACTTTGCTGCTTCAAATTATTCGTTTTATATCTCTAAATCATATACAAGAGTGTTTATCTTTAAAACAAAACACTAGAAAGATTAACTATGTTACTATTTCATCTATCATTATTATACAAAGTATAACAAATGTAAAGATTTTTCCACAGATTTTACCTGTTAACATTTTTAGCACAACAGCACCTGATGTCAGTGAGATGTCTATCACTGAGATTTTACAAAGATTCCAATACAGCAAAAAGAGGCGTTCTTGAGAATCCACTTCGATTGCTGTATCAACATAACATTTACTATAATGGGATCCATGTCACTTAAGACAATGTCTTGGAAATGCTGTCAATTAATTTATTCCGTAAAAGAATATCGGAGAGTATCCAATCTATACACATCATAAACTGTGTAAACATGTTTCATGGAAAAAACAAAATAAAAAAAACAAAGACAAAGACAAATACCAACGCCATCACCACGGTGATAACAGATGATGCTGATTCAATATCTGCAACCAATTCTAGCCAAATACTTGGATAGCTGGACTCTACAATCTATACTCTACAACAAATACCCGGGTATTCTACAAACACAACCTCCAGCAATGTATCTAAGAAATGTAAACTTCTACAGGTCTTTAAAGACTTTGGATTACAAATACAATTACTGCTTTTAACTTTGGATTACAATTCGCATCCGAATCCATCCAAAAATATCTTTCTCTGGAACCTGGTGTTCTTTTCAATTCTTTCCCAGACAAAAGCTTTGCTCATTTTAATCAACCACCTTTACAGGCAAAGATCACACTACGGATGTTTTACTGTTACAAAAATGATCAAAGATGCTGGGAGCACAAAAACCTAAAGACTGTTGGAGAACTTTGGTTTACTAATTTAAGTTAGAAATGCGCTACAATGCCCACAGTTTAATATTACAAGTTTTAGAATGAAATGTTGTATTTCTTAAACTGTGTACTTTGTCTTTAAGAGATATTGTAAACTGACAAGGTGTTCGAAATGGAACATATTGTTTTTCATAACTGTTTCTTTAAGCAATAACCTCAGTGCATAATATGTTCGCGCCATTTTGTCCCAGACGAAATACAATAATGAATAAACAAGCTTCAAGGCTATGCTACGACTCTTTCAGTACACATTATACTGTAGTAACCTTAAGTAGATAAGGATGTCCAGACTTTAAGATGCCATCTTGAGCTAAGTCAGGAAAATTTCCATGACGTATGTACCTTTTAGTTATGGCCTTGTATGTTTGCCAAGTTAAGGGAGGTCCTAAAATGAATAAAGTAAAAAAAGTATTTTTTTATATATGAACGGTAACGGTAACCCTAAAATGGAGACACCTAAGGTATGAATAGGTGTACTTTTAAATGTTAAGACACAGAGGAGAGACTTGGAGACAGACGCTGCTCCATCTTAAAATGACAGAGAGGCTGACATGATGATATATTCAGAAGGGTATGTTAACCTATTAATGATATTTGCAAGCATGTAATTTAATCTTATAAACTCTGCTATAATGGATTTTATATTTATATTTTTATATAATAAATATCCAAAAGACAAAACTATTGCTTCCAAGACGATCCTTATTTTATATTGTATTCTCAATTATTTATATATGTTAAATAGAGGATCTCTTACACTATATAAAATTATGGCTAAGATATCTGTATGGTTAGCCCTACTAAGTTTTATGCTTTAAGACATTATAGTGGTAAATAAGGCAACCACCTGCGGTTACACAGTGGTGGTGGGTGGTCAGGAAGAGTATGAGGTATCTTCTATTGTGGATTCTAGGTTTTCTCGGGGCACTTTACAGTACTTGGTGGACTGGAAAGGTTACGGTCCTGCTGATCGTTCTTGGGTTTCGACTCCTTACCTGCATGCGGGCCGTAAGATCCGTGCTTTTCATGCCAAGTTTCCTCTCAAGCCCAGTCCTGCCCGCCCGGTGGACGGTCTTCAGGTGGGGGGTTATGTCACATATCCATCTGACACTTTTCCCTCACCTGGTGCTGAGCAGCCGGAAGCTTGCAGTCCTGACTGTCTCAGCATACAGTCTGGCAACGGCCGGTGCACATCCACGGGCAGAAATAACCCCGCGCGTGCGCATGTGACCACGGATGTGCACACGTGAACGCGCACGCACCGCACACGCACATTTTGGAGCCAAAATACCGGGCTGACCAATGGGAAAGGAAGGATGGATATAAAAACCTAGTCTGAACTCCACTCAGTGCCCTTTCGTGGTTTCCCATGTGGTTGTCCGAGAGCGCGTTCCTGTTTATAGTTTTCTACTGGTTTTTGACTTCTCTATATTCTGGTATCCTGACTCCTGGCTTTCCTCATCGCTGTGTCCCTTTCTGTGTTCCCTGACCTCGGCTAGTATTTTTGGCTATTCTTTGTACGTTAAATCCGGCCATTCTAAGGACCTGTAATACGTTACTTATTTGTCATCCAAGCTATACAGTTCTACATGCTGGATCAAACAGTAATCCTGATAAGGGCTACATGACAGTCAGTTTAACAAAGTTATTTTGTTTCTTGTTTCTTTTCTCTTCGCTTCCCCCATTCTCTCACCCCTTCCTTTCACTCCCCCACCTAATCATCCCCAATCCCCCATCTCCTTAATACTTAATTAAAGGAATATTGTTGAGGAAGATTACGTGATAAATATTGTTATGAAATTTATACATAAGAATGTTTTATTACCTGATGTACAGGATTGATATTCCTATTGTAAACCTTTGCTATATGCAAACCTTTGTTATACTCAAAATTCTTCAATAAAAAGAAATTAAATTTAAAAAATCATAGCTCTATAAGAGACATCTAATGAAAGTGCATATTGAACAGATAGCCCAGCAATATCAGATCTGAGGAGGGTAACTAATAATAGACTACAATCTATTTTGTTATGCATGCTCTTTATGTAACGTAATGCCCAAATGTACGTATCGGTCAGACCCCACACAGGGAACACCACAAAAATAGAAAAAATGAGGGCAGTGCAAACAATTGCAAATGTGCACACCAAGTGCTACAAAGAGATTTATTTACAAGGACATAAGGTACAAACGTTTTTGGTTATCCCCTTTATCAATGCATGTCACCCTCTAAAATAAAGAAAAGAGCAGTAAACGTTTTTTTTCCTTTATAACCTGGACATCATGGGGGAACACCACTATTGGAAAACGCATTACTCTGTGCATCGTTATTTTAAAGAAAATAGTCTTTACCTTCGGTTTATCATCCACTGACGTTTGTTACTGTACTACTATATTTCTTTAATAAAAATATGAATTACAAAAAAACTTAAATATTAGTGTTTGAAACAACTAAAGCATTTCCCCTGTGTCCACAGGCAACAAAGGACACATCAGTCAGAATAAGTCAAAAATAACTACACAGTGCCAAATATCATAAATGGGTACAGGAAGTACATTGCCCTCGGGACTATTGTAACCAGGCTCTTTCCATGGGAATTAACCTTGGTCGCTCTGTGACAGCTGAATCAAACTTGCTTGAAGACAGAAGGACACTCAGTGTACCCATAAATCAACCCAAAACCGCCCAGATCCTGCAAACGACTTGGAGGAATTTTTAATATGGAAATCCAGAAGAATTTATAGTATATTAGTGGGAAATGGACTGAAAACTATACTAATAATTTTATCAATATGGAAAAAAAAAAGAGCAATATTATGGAGTGATATTACACTATTATTATTTTACTATTTATATACCGCCATCAGATTCCGTAGTGCTGTACACTACCATAGAAACGTACTAATGCTACAAATTTTGATAATGAATATTGATAAATTGCAAGTACACATGCACAATATCCTATAATTCTGCTTTAAGAATTTAATCTAAAGATTTGTTAGTTTTATGTTATCTGTACATGAAAGTACTACCTATAATCAAAACCATTTCTTCCTGCTTAAGTTAGTAAAAGCATCAAAACTATAGCCCATTGTAGTGGTTATGGTGCTAGGAGGCCCGATTTCCCAGTAATGGGCCAACTCTTTAGCATTGCTGGCAACATAGGGGCTAAACTTCTGTTGTTCAGCACTTCATAGCAAAATGCACAGTCTCAAGGCACCATGATTGCTTTAAATCACTAAAGTAGTCACGGCGCTTGAAATAACCCTTTAATTTTGTTATTCCATTTAGATATGACTGATGGCTGATGTCTACCAATAGTCAAGTAACACAAAGAAACATTTCAGGAAAAGTAGGACATTAGCACTGGAAACTAAATTATGTTCTAGTGGTTTCTTTAGACATAAGGGCCGTAACATGAAATAGTACCTACCTTTACACAATAATAATTTAAAACGGAAAAATGTTAGAAAAAAAAAAACATGACAAAACTAATTCAACATAAAGACTATAGAAATAATGTATGTGTTTCCACAATGGAGAGAAATGTGCTGCCATTGCTGCATAAATTGATACCATCTATCCTGCAGAAACAGTCTCCTATTAACTTGATTTTTGTTTCATAATAATTTTATATTTGTAACACTCACTATAAATGAATAAAATAAGTATAATCATGAATAAATTTGTTTACCTTGTTATGTGCGTTTTTCCCTTTGTAAGAATAGTAAAGGTAAGACTTTTTCAAATGTATCGCTTTATAACTTCAGTTAGATGTTTCTACATCATTTCGCATTCCTTCCATGATCCTTTAAAATGTCACGGCCATCTGAAAATATATTTCCGTAAATCACTTTAATAGTAGATTAACAGCATTTTAATAAAACCAAGCTAAAGTAAGTTTATCTGAAATTACCATTTGAAAAAAAATAATCGATTAACAGCATTTTAATAAAACCAAGCTAAAGTAAGTTTATCTGAAATTACCATTTGAAAAAAAATAATCTATCAGTATTGCAATATGGAAGCCGCCATCTTGGAATTGCATCATTATTTTTAAATCCACAATTATTGATAAAACAAGGTTGTGGAAACCATATGTTTACATTGCAGGGTTAATCCAGCCTCTAGCGGCTGTCTTCCTGACAGCCGCTAGAGGCGCTTCCGCATTCAGTGTGCAGGATGTCCATAGGAAAACATTGAGAAATGCTTTCCTATGGGCGTTTTTAATGCGCACGCGGCTCTGGCCGCACATGTGCATTCGTTTCCACTCGGAAGCTGACGTCGAAGGGGGAGGAGATAGGTGGAGGATAAGAGGGGGATAAAGGTAAGTGGCTGAAGGGGTTTTAACCCATTCAGCCCACCGGGAGGGGGGCCCTGAGGGTGGGGGGGACCTAAGGATTATATAGTGTCAGAAAAACAAGTTTGTTTTCCTTACACTATAGTGGTCCTTTAAGCACAAAGTATACAGGGTTTTATACTTCTTATGAAAGAGCCATGTAACTTCTAAAACAGAGCTGCAAAAAACAGAGAAATACTTTTTTCATGTCATAAGATTTACTACTCTTGCTTGCTTTTCTTTAGCCATTTGTGTAGTTGAGAAAGTAATTTAAATCAAATGTATTGTTTATATACATCTCAAAATACATTTACTACATTTGAAATGTTTCCACTGCATTCAATAACTCTGCACATAACTGTAAATTGTATTGCTGTACAGCACTTTAAAAGGACACTGTAGGCACAGACCACTTCAGCTCATTAAAGGACCACTATAGTGCCAGGAAAAACATACTAGTTTTCCTGGCACTATAGTGCCCTGAGGGTGCCCCCACCCTCAGGGACCCCCTCCCGCCCGGCTCTGGAAAGGGGAAAAGGGGTTAAACTTATCTTTTTCCAGCGCTGGGCGGGGAGCTCTCCTCTTCCGTTCCTCCTCCTGGGCTGAATGCGCACGCGCGGCAAGAGCTGCACGCGCATTCAGCTGGTCACATAGGAAAGCATTCATAATGCTTTCCTATGGACGCTTGCGTGCTCTCACTGTGAAAACCACAGTGAGAAGCACGCAAGCGCCTCTAGTGGCTGATTAGGGGGAAGGCTTAACCCATTCATAAACATAGCAGTTTCTCTGAAACTGCTATGTTTATGAAAAAAATGGGTTAACCCTAGAAGGACCTGGCACCCAGAACACTTCATTAAGCTGAAGTGGTCTGGGTGCCTAGAGTGGTCCTTTAAAGTTGTCTGGGTGCTGTGTCCCTTTGGCACTTAGTGCTGCAATGTGAAACATTGCTGTTCCAGATAACTGCAATGTTTACATTGCAGCTTTAAGTCTGCCTTCATTGGACAATCACTAGAGGGCTTCCGGTTTCCAAATGGACTTTTGGTCCGTTATTTTACACTGGACATCCTCACGGACATCCAGCGTCAGATGCACGTTAGGTCTCCCCCGCCGGCGCTGAATTCAGGTAAGTGGCTGAAGTGATTTTAACCCATTTAGCCCCGTAGCGGGGTTGGGGGGGGGGGGAGGGTGGCCGTAAGCAAGGGGGGCACTCCAGGAGCCTGTAGTTCCAGGAAAACGGGTTTGTTTTTCTGGCAACATCGGATCCCTTTAATAAAGTGATACACAATACCATTCATTGCTTTGAGGGTTTGTGATATATTCATGCATTCTAGTTTACTGTGAGTTGTATTGCTGACAATGTAAACTTAACATGTTGATACATATAAGATATTGAAATTTGCTTGTTAGTTTTATTGTTGTGGAGCACTGTGATGAACTCATAAACCTTGCACATGTTTATGATTTTTTTTTACTTTCTTTACTGTGGAACATTAATATACAACAAGAATTCTGAGTACTTAGAAAAGTGAGATAGCTCATTAGGTATGGCTCCATCACGAAAATAAATAAATATATATATATATAAACAAAAATGTATCCAGGATGCACTCTCAGGACTTGAGCAAAAATAATATAAATTTATTTAAATCATGTGCAAGACAAAAAAAACGACGTTTCGACCCCTGTGGGTCTTTTTCAAGGTTGCTGTAACATCTCAAACGTTTAATATATATATGTAAAGTGTACGTGCACTTACCAATCGATTTCGTTGTGAATCCCTTCACCGATACCCGGAAGTGTGTTAGGACCGCCTACATGACGCCATCACTTGTGGACGTCAGGCGGAGTGACAGCGTGATCACCATAGAAACCTACCATGCTACTGGGTAGGGTCATAATTCTGTGATAGAAAATGAACCAAAGGTTGTGGTGAAACAACAACAGGACAGAAAATCCATGGTATACATGGAAAGTAGATAGAAACATGGTTTTTCTGTCCTGTTGTCGTTTCACCACAACCTTTGGTTCACTTTCTATCACAGAATTATGACCCTACCCAGTAGCATGGTAGGTTTCTATGGTGATCACGCTGTCACTCCGCCTGACGTCCACACGTGATGACGTCATGTAGGCAGTCCTAACACACTTCCGGGTATCGGTGAAGGGATTCACAACGAAATCGATTGGTAAGTGCACGTACACTTTACATATATATATTAAACGTTTGAGATGTTACAGCAACCTTGAAAAAGACCCGCAAGGGTCAAAACGTCGTTTTTTTTTGTCTTGCACATGATTTAAATAAATTATATTATTTTTGCTCAAGTCCTGAGAGTGCATCCTGGATACCTTTTTGTTTATATATTGGACGCACTGTGGATGGCACCCGCCACCGGGCAGATATACTTTCAATACCAGTAAGAAGAGTGCCAAGCTATATATTTAGTATTTTTATTTATTTTATTATATTTATTTTCACACATATAATCCTAAATTGAAGACCAAAATGGCTTAGCAATTGGTTAAAGAATGATATGCAATTCATTCTTTAATGAATAAAACCATGTGTGTTTCATCCTGACAATTTTAAAAAGTTCCATTATATCCTTTTAGATATTTAGAGAGCCTATCGATATTGTAAAAATACGTTTATATAGCATTCATTCTTATTTAGAGAATGTTATAAAGAACAGCTTTAAGAAAAATACAATTTGTTAAATTTACTGCTACCACTAATAATAACACCGTATTCCTATAACATTGAAATAGATCATCTTAATTTTATGGGATATTGAATGTTGTGTCAAAGTGATATAACCAGACATTTTAACGCATAACTCAAAATAATTGTAAACCTTCATTACTGACTAGACAATTGTCTTTGTGCATAGGCAAAGGAAATAAATAATGTAACAACACACTAAAGGAAACTGGTTCAGTGTAAGTCTGCAACCTATATCCATATATGTTTATCTATAATCGGAGGATAATTCAATTAGACATTTCAGGCAATTTAAAGATTCCTGTAGTGTCCAGCATCACAGTTTGATCTGCTAGATGGTAAACTAGAGTTGACAGCTCCAACAGTGGAAGGAATACTTCTAGTTCCAAATAAGTAAATATCATCCCTAATCATCAATGTACCTTGGAGTGACTGGTTTTTCAGTAACATGTATTGCCGTGTTCAAAAAAGCAGAAGCCACACTCATACTGCACTAGAAATATACCCAACTCAGCATTAATGGACAGTGAGAAAGTAGAAGGGCAGTTATTGAGTTTCTAGTGAACTCTTATTACGGGAAGAATTCTTTACTATGGGATGGCTAGGAAGGTTGAAATGTTTTATTATTCTTAATCTGTACAGTGTGTTTTCATCTTTTTTGTAAAAAAAAAAAAAAGAAAGAAAGAAAGAAAGAAAAAAGCAAACAATTAAAAACAGCAACCCACAAACCTCAACTGACGACTGTGGGTATGCCGATCTGTAATTAAAGGTAGAGTCAAAACACAAAAATTATTACACTTGCAGAATTGTTTCGGGCCAAACTACAATTTGTCCAAATTTGGACCAATCGTGTAAAACACCATATCACAGACCAAAGAAACCCCACAGTGCTACACATTTTCCCAATAGAAAGAAAAAAGGAGTAGCAGAATTTATTTATTTTTTAAATCCCTGGGTCCCCGCTGCTGGCCCCATCTGAATAACTTCATGGCTGAGATCATCAATTTTGCATACCAGGAGTATTCCACAAGACTTGACATTTTGGAGATGCTCTGATCCAGTTGTCTAACCATCACTACTTTTGTTCTTATCAAAATTTTTCAGATCTTTTTGCTTGCCCGTTTTTCCTGTTTTCAACACATGAAATTAACCCCTTAAGGACCAAACTTCTGGAATAAAAGGGAATCATGACATGTCACACATGTCATGTGTCAAAGGGTTAAAGAACTGACAGTTCACTTGCTGCCTAATATATCCCATCCCTTGACAGGTACAATTGTAACAATAAAACCAATGTTACTCACTTCACCTGCCAGTGGTTTTAATGGTGTGGCTGATCAGTGTATCTCTCTCTCTATATATTTTATATTAAATAAACATAGAAACTTTTTTCTGATCCTCCTGGTTTACCCCTTTGTTACTTATTTTGCTTTATCTGAGAACCATCTATTGGGAAATTATTCTATCAGTGTACTGAAAAATAAATACACGATTATATGTATTAAATTTTGCACTACACTGAATTTGCCCGTTTTCTGCTCACTTTTTTTGTAATTATGATTCGCCTTCCAAACTGAAATCTTGGTTGAAACTGATGAAATCTTCTATTTTCCCAAAAAATAAA